CCAGAATAATATATTGTAACGACTATCTCCCTAGACCAAAATATCAGCGACTATTTCTCTAGAGAGATAGTCGATATTTGGTCTAGTAAAATAGTCGTTAAAAATATAACACGACCTTGATTATTATTCTGCTATTTTTGTTGTTGCTAAATTTCTCGAACATTTTACAATTTGATTCTACATAATTTTGGCATTAATAATCAATTGATTAAAGCCCTCTAGCTAAAGCTCTCTAATCAGATTATTAATGCCAAAAATTATGTCTCTGGACAGCTTCTACATTTTAACATTGAATTGAATGGCAGGCGTTTACCCGTCACTTCGTGGCGCTACTAAGTGGCACGACCGAGTGGCCCGTCTGGACGGGCGGGCTCTAATGAAACATATTATTTGGGAGTGCGCGACCGATGAAAGAGGCGCTACACCTCTTTTAACACGGCAATATTTGCTGCATTACTGCTGTTCTTCTGCCTCGGTCTCGCGTTCCCAAATGGTACCTTATAATCTACTCGTTAAAACGCATTTTGAAGCGTTTGTTTATTACAACTACATTTTTAAATCAAATTCGCAATTACGTGATCAAAAATTTACCGCACCTCTGATTTCGGATGCATCCGATGTGGATAAATAAACGCAGCATTTGCTTTGTTTAAAAAATTACATCCTATCGTGGTCCATTATTAGATGGCCAACCCCCTCCCCCTATTAGTGCTCTATACGAAATCGTCCATTAGAAATTAGAAGAGAAAAAATCAATTTTTTATCAGTTCCAGTTCCTAAGTGGTATAAAGTACCTATCTATTGCAAGGAAAAGTGTGAATGAAACGAAAAACAAATTAAACTGAAAATAGATACCTATATCCTTGTTCACTGCCACAATTCGTCATCCGATTGGATACGATCTACGACAAAAAAAATTTACACATCGTGACATCAGGGTCAGATCGGAACATTTGAAGGTGAAGGTCAAATAAAGGAATAACACGCGAAATGAAAACTCACAAACTGGTTTTATTATAGTATATTACGTACCTACCTACCTACGGAACAGCGGCGTTTCCTTTGGTCGGTCTATCGGATTTTTCTACCTATCAAACTTTTTTATACAGGACGAGGCACTTGTGGAAATCAAATATTGTAAATAAAATGTATTAGAAAGCTAAAAGTTAACTGCATGTACTAAATCTCAAAATAGTACAGGTAGGTACTTAATTTAATTAAACCTACTCTGTTTTTAAATTGAAATTATCTGTAACTTTCAAACGATTCACTTTACACCTTAGGTTTACATTTTTGGAATCCAATAGGTATTAGAGGAGAATAGAAAAATGCAAATACCTATATAGGGTGTACGGTATGGTCATAGAGTGTGAAAGTTACGAGTATACATGAGCAAAATGACGTCCCCTTTTATATGATTTTCGACTTATTTTTGAATTTTTTCATAAAAGTCTCACCTTTAAAATTATTTAGGGTGGATAGATTTCATTGAAATTCCCTAAAAATTTCTTTTCATAGGAGATTTTGTATTATAATATCTAAAACTTTTTTAGAAAATTTTGCTCCTGTTCTTTTCTCGGGTACCTACCGCACTGGTGCAATGGTTCACTCTCAAACAAAGCGAGTTTTTTGTTCTTTGATAAGTATCACAAACCCGGTTACGTTGGTGAACGTTTCAGAATTTCAACGGTGTTATTTCGATACGCCTAGTAAGTGAGGCTTATAAAAAAATAATTGTATCAAAAAAAACCACTAAGTACCTATTTTACTCTGGGCGGTTGCCTTGTGACCGCTATAAACTAGGTTCGTGTGCTAGACTAGTTTATCAAACGCATATAAATATGCAGATAGAATAAATTAAGTAAATTAATTTTTAAATTCAATAATTTCGAAGGCAACTGTGTCAAATTCCTAAAAATTTTGACTTTCACATTTCGTTATGTAAAAAATAAGCCAGCAACATTTTTAAATTTTGATCTGGACTTGTAGCATTGCCAAAAATGTTCAAATAATGACTTAGAGCCACATTATAGTTCGTAATTTTCTTGTTAGAAATAAAATTGCAGCAATTTCTACTGAGCGCAAGAGAAATTGCAATTTATTTTAATAAGTTCGCCAACCAGCGTTGTTATGAGAGAGAGAGAGAGATACAAAATGTACTAGATTGCAATATAAAAATGTAATAAAAATATAATATGGTTCTGCACAGGCGAATTGTCTATATTTGGTAACTAGAAATGTTGAACAAATTTTATTCCAGAAATTTCTAGTTTTATTTTCAAAATATAAATTGGAATTTCAAAAAAAAAAAACTAGAATAAATATATGTGTAATGCTTGGCATTCTATATTATACTCTTCACAGTTTAACAGACCACCTTAACCCCCCATTTTTAATCAGAATCAATATGCTTCATTCCTTTATAAAGCTGAATTTTTCCTGAATATTTCAAATTGATATAGTTTTTTAATTTTAATTTCGGATTTTTTTTTTATTTCAACCCCTTTTAATCCATATCCCATCCATTTTTATTAAAATTATAGGTTTTTCCCCCTTATAGAGCTTGATTTTTGCTAAAAATTTCAAGTTGATGTCGCTTTTCGTTTTTGATTTTAGCTTCCTCTTTACCCCCATTTTTATTCATAGGCTTTGCTTCCTTATAGAACTTGATTTTTCCTGAAAATTTTAAGTTGATATCGTTTTTTATTTTTAATTTATTTATTTTTTTTATTTCAAACCTTAATTCCTCCATTTTTAATTGGATTTTTTCAAAATCAATATTTTCCACACACATCATACTCGAAAGATTTTTTTTTTTTTATATTATTCATTGCCAACGAAAATTTAAATTAAAATTTTACTTTTTCTCAAAAAAAAAAAAAATGAATTTTGCACTTTGTGTCAAATTTCTCGTATACGGATCATTTTGAAGTCTAATAATATAAATATTAGAAAAGTTATAAGAAAAGAGTTATACATGGTGAATGAAACTTATTTTATGCACTGCAACGATTTTACTGATTTATTATATGGATGGCCATGCTTGTCAACTGTGAAATCAGAATTTTTCATGTATTGCTGACGCTCTTAAATGTAAAATAAATTATTTATCGTTTTTTAAATATGTTTATAAGAATTTATTTATTGTCACTGAAAATGATACATAAGTGAAAATAATTTTTTCCTACGACCACTTAGGAAAGTGACACATATCACATTATATAGTCCTATGCAAAGTGCCCTATATCACACGCGTATGAATAAGAATTTACTTTCCACCCGTGTACGAATATGCTACTTTCCGCAGCAGCTGTCACAAAATGTCAAACAAATCATTTCTATTTTGATCTATGTAATGTCCATATTAATACTAAAATCGATATGATTGTTAAATTATTGAAATTGTTGTAAATTAGTTCCTAGATATTTATCTTAAAATAACTAAGATATGTTTGCTCTTTATTCTGGTTAAACACATAACCGATTAGATCATTCAATTTACGCAAGGCCTATTAGCTCAGATGGTTAGGGCGTCAAACTTATCAACTTTGCCATTTGAGACCTGGCGAGCGATCGCGTTCAAATCCTGGCGGGGCCAGAATTTTTTTTTTTTATTTTTAAATATGAAAATTGAATAAGTACGATTATTGTTGATTATTTTTTTAAATACATTTTAATTATTATAATAATAACCTGATTTTACATTTTTTGATGAAATTATTTTGTGGTCGTAGGAAAAATATTGTACATCACTTGTGTGAAAAGTGATTTTCCACACTAGTAATGTAATATACTATATTGTTTTAAGTTGAAATAAATGTGGATCTTGCGAATAATATACAAGATGTGGTAAAGATGATTTTTGCACGATTTGTAACTAATTCCAGAATGGAGTAGATAAAAGAATCAAAAAGGGAAAGGCCCCAAATATTATTACATGTGCAGGCTTAAGGGGTAAAGGAATCAAATAATTTTACATTAATTGCTTGGAAAACCTGTAATCTAAGGTTCAATACAGTATTACCTAATAATTCTAAAACTGAGTTAAAATACAGTGTTCCATTTAAAAAATATATATTTTTACATTCCAGGCAAAAATCGTAACACCCTGTATATCAAAAAATATTTTTATATTAAATCCATATAACTTTTATTAAAAACTTGTTTGCGTGTCTATATCACAAATTGATGCGTTGCTATGTTAAATTCGCATACACAATATCAAAACCAAATTCATAATGTACTAATTTAAGAACCCTTTCACATGCCTACGGGCAGTGATGCCATTGCTACCGATTTTGATAATAATCTATACAAATATACCGATATTTTAGGCAATCTACCGATTTTTTAAATAATCTTTGATTATATTATACAAACATTCAATTAACATTGCATGTTGTACCAAAAAAGTATCTATTCTTAACTATATATTTTTTGTATTTTTTGACAAACTTTCTTAAGATGCAACGTCACTTTAAATTTCTATCTCTTAATGTCAACAAATACGTAACACGATGAGTTTTATAAAACGTATGTCTCGAATTAGCACGGTTGCACATAAGGGAAATAACTATCATGATGTTAATGAACGTCGTGGGCAGCGAAAGTGTTAATAAATACTTTACAAAACTGAAAATTCAACGAATTTATCAACGAAAGACGATTTTTTTTGGTCTTTCGTTTGTCTTTGCGGACCACCAATTTAGCTCTCTCGAATTTCTTCACAAAATAAAATATTTTTTCATTACATTATAGTTATCTTAAGCATTTTATAGTACTTTATTAACAAAATTTGACTGACGTTTTACTAGAAATCGGCAACTTTTTACCTTATAGATATGAAACTTGTGTGTATATTAACAAAAAATATAAGTAAATTAAACCCATACAACTTTTCTATTTTACTTTTTAGGCCTTTTAACAAAACAGTTAAAGGATAAAATATATTTTCAAATAATTATTACATTTTAAAAATTTTATTTTCTATTTTTTTTCAGATGAAAACCAGATCTGTTACCGCCTGGCGTCACACAGCCGATCACACGGGCGAACTATCAGTGTTCTGTTGGTGAGATCAGCTTAAGGGGCGATCTCCGTCGCCCTCCGGCTTAAGCGATTCTCCCAAGGAGGGCAGCAGCAGCTTCTCGCCGCCATCTTGGCCAGAACATAGCTCTTCATAGTCTACTGATATTTTAACCAAAAACTAAACAAACAAAAAAAAAACTACAAAAATCACTAAACCAAAAGCACTGAGAGTTGGATTGATTGGTTGGTCGGTTAGCCAGGAATCCAGTTTGGTTTTGGCGATTTCGAAGGATCTCTGTTGAAGCGGTTTTGAAGTGGTACTTGGATTAAAAGTTTTGTGATCGTAAGCCGTCATTACAAGCGTGAGAAAAGTACAATGAGTTTAACCCAATGTCCAAAGTTGTCTCAAAGAAACAGCCATTGTCTGTTGTGGTCTAATTTGATCAAAATATATAAGAAATATATTTTATCGAGCTAAGTTTTCATGGGTATTACTCTCGTAATGGCGACTCTTCAAATGGTTCTATTTCGGGAGGTTAGAATGGCTCGAAATGTTGATTGGAAGGAAATACAGCATCGAAAAGATTTTTTCACAAACCATATAGTTTTGTAATTTTATATGAATTCAGTAACGTAAAGAGTGGTAGCGAAAAATAATAATAGACAACTACGAAGAACATTTTAAACTAAAAAGCAGATTTTGCATACAAATTTCCAATAAATTATACAGGGTGTTTCAGAGTAATTTAATTTCATTTAGCAGCATATTTCTCTATTTTTTTTAATTTTACTTTGTGTCTCATCTTTAATTGAGTTTCCCTTATTTGTGGTTACTAATAATATTTATATACTTTTTTGAAATCTATGAAATGGAAATTTGTTTAGTAGAAAGGAAGACTATTTTGTCTCGAAAGTTAAATCTGAAGATCTTCAATATTCAAAAGGACTGTTTTATTTCCTTGTACAGTATGTTTCCAATTGTCTAAATATTCAAATGCCCTAAATATCTTAAATGTCCCAAAATGTCCTTGACGTAATGGCTTTTCCAGATACCTCATTTTGTATCGCCATTTGCCTCCTATTTAAATATCCAATGGCATATTAATAAAATGTTGTTCTAGATTCTAGGAACACCCTGTATAGATCGAAATGGAGGATATTTCGGAATGCTCTACTTTCGTACATATTCACTATTTTTCCTAAAAATTTAGATCTATCGCATTTATAAGGGCTGCTTTTTAAAACTCTCAACAAGAAGAACAACAAAAAAAACTTGTAACATATTTTTATATAAAATATATATATATATATATATTTACGTAGAAGAAAATTTTTGTCGTAAAAAAACGCGACGTTTCTAATAATTAATAAGAATAATAATAATAATAAAAATTAAATTAACGATAACTGAAATGTCTTTCCTTGTTTACGTACGAATTTGGAACTCGAATTATCGATGATTGTCCGAAACAAGTTCGACACGGTATTTTCTTTTTTTGTTCGGTTTAAAAATTACAAAATGACATTTTTATAAAACTGTGAATGTACGTTTAGCATAAAAAAAATGATAGATCTCGGTGTTTTTAAGTAGATATGTATTTAGTTTACAGTTTTTTTTTTTAATATTAGTCATAATAGTCTTCATTGGTGGGTTGTTTTGAAAGAGAATAAATTGACGTTTTTTCAGATGTCAACGTGGTACGCCATCTGTCAAGAGATTCGATTGACAGTTGACACGGAATTACAATTCCTACTTGCAAGTTTAACCGTCGGTACAAAACAATTGACAACTAACACAATACAAATAAATAGGCAGTTGGTATAATTCAAATTACACTAAAAGATCTTCATTAATTAAAAAATTTATGACAAATTACATAATTAATTAACAAATTACATAAATTAATGGATAAATTTCTTGATTAATTGACAAATTACATAATTGACAAAATTGCTATTAATAAATAAATAACCACTCTAACTGTACAACAACGAAAAACAGTGACCTGTTAATCTTCTTCTTTGTTCCACTAAAGAGTTTACAAGAATGAAAGACAGTGGCGTACAAATATCACGTAATAATCATTCTCTTGTTGATATTTCTAAACCTGCCATGACCAGAAACAGGTAGTTTTGTGAGTCTGTATAAATTTGAATAAATGAAATAATAAATTGGTCGATATATATTTATATAATACCCCAATATATATTATTCAACTAAAAAAAAAGAAAAACAAACAAAGCTGCCTAAAAACTGCCCATCCTCGACGTTTTTTCTAATTTCCCAATTAACCGCTTCATTATTATTAAAAGAAGTTATAATAAAAATAAACTCTAATCAAAATAAGCGTGGACATAAAATTTTTATTCGTGAAAAGTTGTTGTTATTTAAAGAAGTAGAAGAAAACAAAACAAACACAAAAAAAATGTAGTAGGAACTTTTTAACAAATTGAAAATAAAGACTTATTTAAAAATTGCGTGAAAGTGAAACAGTAATAATTGTGTATAAGACAAGGAACAGTGAGAAAGTGGTGCGAGAATTAGCTAGGCTGTAAGGATATTTTGTTATATTTGTACAAATTTCAACCTGAACTGGATCTTTCGGGTTCGACACAATCTTTGACGTTTCATTTCATCGAAGCATAAACCATAATACAAAAAGTTCTATTTATTATTATGAAAACGACAAAAACATATCCACTGTGTCAATTTTATATGTATTCCATTTTATCAGCTCAAACAATAAATGTTGCTTGTTGTATTATGAATTATACAAATTCAAGTCTCTAAATGTCAATTTTACTTCTGAATTTATTGTTTGTGAACCAGTGTTCATAAAGTAGAAACAGATTTATCGAGGGGTAAACCACAGGTCAAAAATTGTACACCTAATTTTATTCCTCGGCAATTCCGTTAAACCTGTAAATTTTTCGCAATTCTTTACCTTTGTACACCTCTGTGGTTTACCCCTCGAGATTTATCAACATGACATTTGGGAACGTCATTAAGGGTTACGGTCTAAAATTAACCAATCTCACAACTTAAATCGTATGTCAATTGCATACATTCTTAGTAGTAAACTTATTTTTCTGGATCTACCAACAAATTGTGTTGTATACCACTGTACTTAAATCTAAACACAAGTTGATGGACATGTGTAATTTTATGTGAAATCTGTATCAAACACATTGATAGATACGAAAAAATAATGGAAAATATTCAGAAATTTGTAATTATAAATCAATTTAAATTTTTCGAAACGGCAGTACACTACTCTCATTTACTGATTTACCTTAATTTTAAACGTAATAATTGATAGACATACATGTATTGTCAATTCTGCTTTGAACATTTGCTACTGTAATTTCCAGATTTCACCCGATATTATTTGGAAAAACTAGTTATAACTAGAATTAAATATTATTTTTAGTTGATTCTAGTGCTGATTAAACATATTTTGATTAAAACAAAACTAGTATTGCTATAATCCATTGAGCAAATTATAGCTTTGGTTTTCTGCGGATTAAATCTGCATATAGAACAGACATACTTGCCATAAAGGAATTCCACCCATTACATTGTGTGTTCATATAAAAATAGCATCTAGACTTGAGGTGTACACTGAGCAAGATGGCTCTGTAGCAACGCATCTGCCTCGCATTCAAGTCAATGCCCATTGCCGCCAGGCAAATGCTGGGTCAGTAACGTCCTTACCATTCTTTACACCTAACCTCGAATACCCCAGATCTCTGATCACTCCACTGCAACTGAAGAGACGGCTTGTAAAAGCCTATAGTGGCCCGGAAAATAGTTCCTTTGCCGTTTCCCCTGAAAATGGGCAAGTTTCTGTTTAAAATATCGAATCGTGGTGTGAAAGAAAATTGAGGCATATACATCACCATCACGTTGGTACTGTAAAGAAAAAGCCTTTGTAGGTCCTAGATGGGAAATGTATAGAGGAAGACTGAATTAAAATAAAAAATTTGAGGCAAATAAGGAAAATATGAATTAAACAGGTGCATATAATATGATACACTTTTTTCCAGTAATGCCATCTGGCAGTCCCGATAAAGTGCTAGTATTTTAAGAGGTGAAGTTTTAGTATATAAACTCAATAAACACCAATGTGATTCCTGCACTTCCATACAACTATGGGCGTCTATAAAAGATTTCTCCGCCCAAAAACAGAAGATTTTAGGTTGTATTACATTTTTAGGTTTAGCTAAGATTATCAGACATTTCCAGTTTTACCTAGTCAAATATACGGTGTCTCCAGATGGACTGAAAATGAGGTGGAAAAACGGTTTTTTTATTTTAACCTTTTTGAACAATGTAAGTGTAGAGACATCGTTCTGGTCCACGTCGTTGAAGGCTGATCACAGTGAGAATTCTTGCTATGACTTCACAGCTCGAGTGTATAGCATGCTTTAAATGTTCATACATACATCATCACATACTGTTTGACGATTTATTTTCAATTTAATTTAAAAACTGTTTTAATGTTGCTATTAAATAACTAATTATTCTAATCACTTTAAGTTGAAATTCAGTTTTTGACGACAGAATGATAGAAAACGTCTTAGTTCGAAAGTTTCACCAAGACAACAAAATTTAATGTAAAATTTTATCGCAAACAAGAAAAAATGCAGTTAGTTAAATTTGTCTGATATTTTTCTGCTCCATAACTGCTCAATCTCTTGAAAAGTCAAAGCTGAAAAGTTAGCTTGAACATAAATACGTTCAAGTATACGAAATTGATCACTTCCATCTTTAAGCAGACTTTGCTTACAGTGCCCAGAAATTCTAAGAATCCCACCATCCGGCAGCTCAAGTTTCTTTTATCAGCATACATGTGTTAACAATGACTATTTTTAACATTTTTTAGTCTGATGTTAGCTTTCAATTAATAAAGACATAATTATAACTCTGTTTAAATAAAAAATATTTTTTTAAAAAACGATTTTTCAAATCGTGTTATATTTTTCGCGGGTTTCGGATTAAACATTTTATGAGTATTTCCAGGTAAGTACCCGAAAGTTTGACCTGTTCTTTGGGGAAATATCAACTGGTTAAATGAAATGGAAAAATAATGTACAACTTTTTAATTAAATAATAATGGAGAATCTTTTGTATAATTGAGAGCAGAATTAAACTTCTTCATTAATGGAGTCTAATGTGGCTATTATAAACCTAATAATAATTTTATATTACACTTCACAGAGAAAATACAAATTTAGTACCTACCCTAATGTTATTTTAATTTAAATCTGACCATTAGGGCAATTTTACCTAATTTCTTGGGAAGAGGCTTATTGGAACTGGTTGTCAATGACTAATTTGCATAATTTTGTTAATCCGAAACCCGCGTAAGTATAGCGAACAGACTGTAGGTTCCTATTGCCTTATCAGTACACATACCTCCCATTAATTTCTTGATCTATTCAAATATTTGCAATTTAAGGACCTATTTTTCAAGAGTTGAAACTAATATCACATAATAAAAATGAACCGAGATTCAACATTATTATTTAAGTTGGTTGTTTGATAGGTTGGTACATCTGAACTTTAAGATAAAATTGGATGAAAAATAGAACGTTAATATTTATCGTGAATAAATTAATGAATTGTTTCATGTGAGGTTTGGCTTTACAACTATCAATGTATTCATAATTAGTTCATTAGATGATAATAACATACTATACTTTTCTACTACTAAAATTGCTCAATAGTTTGGTTAATTTTAGAACACATATATGTCAAAGATTGCGCACCCTGAAAACTGGAATTATTACGCTTAGATTAGATGAAGAATTGCTTTAGTAACGTCTTAAGCTGTAGGAAGGATTTGAAAAATTAAAACGTCTAGAGCTACTAATTAGTTCTGGTCCATTGGTACCAATATTCACCACTAGATGTTGGTATAACATTATGGTTTCCTAATATAAATCTACTATTGTCGAGAAAATACATTTTTTCAATGATAAGACCTAGCTAGTTTGAAAAACGAGTAATAATTAAACATTTTCAAATTAAATACGCTCAGATTCTTGAAAAATATGTATAATGTATTAAACTGAACTGGACGAATCAGAAAAGATTATTAAAAAACTGGAAGCAAGCAATTTTCCGTCTAATCTTATATTTATATTAAGTCACGTGTGTAACGCCCTGTATACGGGCAATCCTTTTTGTTAACAACTTATTTTCGTGTACATAATATAGCAAAGTAAATATATGTAAATTTATCGCCCCATAAGGATTTCGTTTGAAAAATTGACAGCCTACTGTCGATTTCGACAACCTGCTGGCAATTTCGAACAAAATCCCATGGCATTCTTTTGGTTACGAAAGAGGTTGACGTATAATCGGTATCACACTTAGATTATACTTGTAAACAGTGCAAATATATTTTTTAATTTTAAAAATGTTTATTAAAAAAAAATTGATAAAACTATTTTTAATTTGGCGATCGTCGCTCGTTAAGACGAAATTTTTTTAATGACGAAAGATTCGAAGCCTAATTTTTTGGATTAAATCGTTCGTACCTTAGTTGCATCGCGTCAAATCGAATGATGCTGCTTTGATTATGATGTTTTAATCGTGATGCAAACATGTGATAGCGATATACAATTTCGTCGATCTTTCGTTAAATCTCGTTTCAAACGAGCGACATCGCTCCAGTGATACATTTGGGATCTCAGAATTTTCGTGGTTTTGTAAACTACAAATTTCACATTAAAATTACGCCAGATAAGAATCTTGATAACGAAAAGTCATAGTTAGAGTGCTAGAGATACTGGTCGATCTTATTAAGGTTGGTTTAACAGAGCTACAAAATTTGTATATTGAAGAACGTATAATCGGGAAGTTCATGTGTTATGTTTTTCTCTCCACTTCTAATTCCATTAATTTCTACATTTTTTTCTATTCTACTCTCATGTGAAAAATTATTAAATCATTTTCATCTTCTATTAATTTTTTTACCATGAACTACATTGACTCCATAATTATCCAGTTAGCCGTAATAGGACTCTTTAGGGGACACTGCGGCCTTAGAAGACACCTAAATCTCTTAGAGATATCTGATGACTCCGTGTAGAATATGCGAAGAGGAGGACGAAACTCCCGCTTAACATACTGTGCCATTATCAGAACCTTGGACATATCATTTGGTCCCAGCATGATTCCATTTTCGTAAGGGATTATTTATCGGAATTGTTCTCGGGTCGTTTGATTGCAGGATATCCCAATATGAAGTGACATATTCCATGGCCAGCTAGATCGCCTAATCTAGCACCATGTGATTCTTTTTATGGGGATATACAAAAAGAAAATTGTATTTTCAAGAGCAGAGGGCTAGGATCTCGATACGTTTAGAGGCATTAGCCCTGTAATGCTCTCCAATGTGCTAGAAAATTTTATAATAGATTTGGTTATTGTTCTTTTCATGGTGGTGGTCGTCTTGAGCAATTGTTTCTTGTTGTTTCATTTAAGAATTGTTTTATTTTACTTTCTAGCAAAACTGAGCCTTTCATGTATAAGATATTACCAATAACTACGTAACTTTCGCCATATTAAATAACAAGCGACTTACCCCCCGAAACAGTTTGTGGAGTACTGAAATTTGTGCTATGATCGGTGAATGTGGGCAGAAAAATATCCTCCATCGAAAGGGCTTAGTTAAAAATATTAAGCGTCTCATCTATATTTTTTCGAGTTTCCTAGGTTATACTGTCTAGAGATTTCACATTTAACTACAAATCTGCAGTTTCTTTAAATCACCTCGTGCTGTTTGACTGTTGTGTAGCACTCCTATGAGAACAAACAAGTTTTCAAAACTATGAAAATTCTTTTTAGGGTCCTCAACATTTTAATACAAAAAAATGAAGACTATAGATTCCTAAGTATTTTTGCACAGATGTGCAATTTGTGTAAACTTATTTTGAACTATTTGTGATATAAATGTAGTCATATAGAAATTAACCCCGGTACCTTTATTAAAAAAAAACTAATCTGTAGGGGGCCATTTTTGCTGCTAAAGAAGTATTAAAAAAGATTGGCGTGTTTATTATAAAAAAAATTTTTGACTGTAGATAAAAGGCCATGGAAACAAGAAAAAGCCAAGAAAAAGATATGACAATTGTCAAGCAACTGGACTGCTTTGGTCTGAAGGCCTTATTTTGTAAAGAAAGCAAATTTAAAATTAATTTTTTTATAATCATGACGAACGTTACGGTGATATTGTTAATAAACTCGCTTTGTATTAACTTTCTTAATATTTTTTTTAAACAAGGCCCACACTTGTTTCTATATGCCTATAATCGCACATTATATTAGTTGCATAATAATAATTATGTTAAGTTTTTAAGTGTTTTTTATTATGAAACATTTTGGCCCAATAAATATTTTATATCATGAACTATGTTTTTTCATTTGCCCTTTTTCTTTGAGTGATGAAGTAAAGCATTTAAAGTTATCCCATCGCAAACCAATTGGTTGTCTAATACAGAACCTGAATTTTTCTGAGAACAAATAAGTTGCTCTACTGCTCCAACTTACTCAGTGCTTAAAAGTGTACTTTAGCTACAAAGAAACAATACATACAAAGTATACATTTTATTACAAACAATTTCATTATCAAATTCTACTCCCACGCCTACAACTCCCAGCACCAAACGAACTCCCAGTCACCAGGATCGGACTTCCAGGTGCAGCCAACCGAAAACTGCCTCTAGCGCTGGTATCCTTCTTCGCCAAAGGCTTCAAAGGATATGTCCCACCTTTGGGTTTATTCTTATACAATTTTATGCATTTGGGTTGCTGGAAATGTTCTTTAGGTTCGTCTTGCCTCCGTCTACTTAACACCAACGAATCTATATGCCTAAAGGTCTTTATTTTTGTAGTACTGCCTTCATCGTCGCTATCTGGCGGTATGCTGATATGAGACGGTTGTTGGCTTAGAGTCAGAGATATTGCGGTGGTGCGACGACAGTCATCGTCGGAACGTACGCTGTAAGTTCTGTTACCGTTACTCAACGGAGTGCTAACTCTTGAAGTCTCTTCTATTACTGTTCGCGTTTCATTCTTCTTCTCTTCTGGTAATATTAGCGGAAAAGGACTGCCAGCTTTTTTGGTTTTCGGTTTGGGCCTACAGGTTTTGGGTCTGATATTGAAAGTGTGATCATCTGCAGACACAGTGCTGGTAGAAAAATTTGCTCTAGCAAAGAAATCAATTAATTGACGCCCTGGGTCTTCTTCGCAGTGAAATTCCCTATCTTCGGGTTGCGGTTTAGGCCGCCTAATCTTAACCGTAGTTTCCGGGGATCTATGTTTACTAGGTTTCCAATTAGTCCAGTACGTTTCCTCCATTCTGTGGAGTAACTTCTTCTGACTGGCTAAATCGTTATTGAGGAGAGAATAATTGTTGTTGTAGAGGCTCGGATTTAGATTCGGTATTTTTAGGAATCGATGGTTATAGATGAGATGGGCGTTACTGTTTGGAGTCGGTGGTTTTTTGTAGTCGTTCCATAAGCCGGCTTTCTTCTTGGCCCGCTTTAAAGCTAAAATGTCACCCCAATCGTAATTGATGTCGTGGTATTTCACGTAACCTTCCCAGTCCTAAAAATATAAATCAATTTAAATAACATAACTTTTACGCGTTTATATTTGTCAAATTGACGTAAATGTGAAATTTTTTGAGGACTCTTGAAACTTGGAGTGATAGAAAAAAAGACTCAACTTTATTGGCATGAGGCATAATGAGAAGAAGGTTTGACTGCGCAGTAACATGTCCAAGTTATCTGCCATTTCTCAAAAATAGATAACATAAAAGATTGCTACATAGAGTTTTTAGTACTTAATGAAAGTATCAATGGTTTTTAGTAATTTGAGTTATTAGTCCAGGGAAGTTAGGAAAAATAGCGGAAATTTTTAGGGACAGCAGATATCGAGATGCAGTTTTCTGCATTGTGTTCAGGAAGGTCCCAGGAAAAAAGACTATATCGTCTGGTTTAGCCATTTTTTGAAAAATGCCTGCTGTGCCCGAAAATGCATTTTCCAATTGATCATTACTTGCACCATTATAGGAACGACTGGAAACTCGGAAAAATCGCCCGAAAATCGTTATTTGGGGGGTTTTGGGGCTGCCGAACTCGATTCTGACATTAGAATTACCCGGGGGTGGCTCTGTGGGGATGCGCGGTGGGTGAATTGGAGGAGAAATGGCAGCGTTGGAAGTGCCTTTTTGGTTTGAGCAATTGCCATCGCAATGCTTGCATGCAAGTGAGCACTCCACGCCATTTCAGCGGCACCCGCACCTCGTGTCACAGTCGGTTTCACAAGAACAAGAAATTTTGCTTAAAATTTTCTTGGGACCGGCTTCCTGGGTCATGGTGACAGGACTGAGCTCTCCATCCACCAATTTCCACCCCCATTCCAACGGATCTAAGGTATCATCTTGACCTTGTGAACCATACCAAGCCTATATACTTGGAAATAGACAAGCTTGATATGCTCGGTTAACGCATTGGCAGTCGGGATTATGCGTGCAAGATCGACTTTTTTAGAATTGGTGGTTTCAGCATACATTTTTACTCGATAGCTTTGAACGAGCTCAATCGTAGCCCCACAGAGCCACCCCCGAGCGCCCCCGCGAAATATAATACTAGAATTGAATTCGGCATCCCCGAAAACCCTCGAGTAACGAGTTTGGAGCGCTTCCCATGGACTATGCAATTTCCTCCCCAGAATAACCCCCGCAGAGCCGCCTCCGGGTAATTTCAATGTTAGAATTGAATTCGGCATCCCCGAAAACCCCTTAGTAACGAGTTTGGAGCGAGTTTCATGCACGCTGCCATTTATTCCCAATTCACCTCCTGCGCACCCCCGGGTAATTATAATGCCAGAATCGAGTTTGGCAGCCCCGAAAGCCCCTCGAGTAAAGATTTCAGAGCGATTTTTCCGAGTTTCCAGTCGTTCCTATAATGGTGCAAGTAATGATGCAATTGGAAAATGCATTTTCTGGCCCAGACGATATAGACTTTTCCCGAGACCTTCCTAAACACAATGCAGAAAACCGCATCACGATATCTGCTGTCCCTAAAAATTTCCGCTATTCCGGTTGATTTTGATCTAAATGCCCTGGGGGTCAATTCTCGACTTGTAGGAACCTTTTCCTATAGGAATTTGTGACACTTTCCTACATGTAGACAAATGTCATAAATTTCCGATGTGTAGAAAAATGTCAAAAATTCCTATAGGAAAAAATTCCTACGAGTCGAGAATCGACCCCCTGGACTATTATGGTGTATTCTTCAAAATATTTCAAGGTTAATGTTAAAAATGAAATGCAACATTTAGTTTTATTTTCGTTTCAGTATTATTGACTACGGCAGACTGTTAATTAGTTTATAATTTTCTATTATATGTAGATATTTTAGAACAAACATTTTATTAGTGACGACACAGCACTAATTTTTGTGGTCATTATTCTCCAATAGAATTCAACATTCGTTTTTTTTTTAATAATAATGTCAATGCGAAAGAAAGATGTTACTAAAACACTATATTATCAATTTTCCAGTCACCAGTTGGCAGTAAGCTACCGAGAGTTTTGCCAGAATATTTTTTTGTTATATACCAGATTTCTCTAAAAATGTACTAGATTCTGTTAAATGTATAAGATTTTCGAATGAATTGTGATTTGGTTTGGTTCAATAAGGAAAAGAAAAAAGGGTTTTTATTGAACTAAAACAAAACAAGGAGCAAAATGCCAATATATTTTACACGGGTCAAATGGTTACACGCTGAAAAATACTAGATTTTGATTCGAGTGAACCATATTCTTAGAAAATGTAGTAGATCTAGTAAAATTGTACTAGATTGGCTACCGACATAGATGCACTATATATCGTTTCTTCTCCTGCATATAGGTACGAACATAAGCAAAATTGAAGGTTTGATTTTGCCAGCACTGTAAAATTATTTTGAGATTCGTTTGTTTTTTCAAGAATTAAATTTTTTGTTTCATACATGTCAATTAGGGAGGTGGAGATTCAATGCAGAGGTTATCGTCATACTCAGTAAATGGCACCACAAAGGCGAAGCTTATTTCAAACTAGCAGTAAAATTATTAGGCCCTAAATAAAATATTAAACATTTATAAAGTAGAAATTAATTTAAAGTTAAGTTCTACGCCTATGGTTTACCTTTGTCACATAAAACTCTGTCAATGTACCAAATTTAAGCATAATCGCCTTAGAAAGATAATCCCATAAGCTGTTTTAAATTTATAAGAGAAACTCTTTAAAAATTGTAACTTCAGGTAGACTTTTATACGAACCTTGAACTTCAGAGCCATTCTAGCGAACAAACTTAACCATTTTGTACTAAGGTAAGTTTACTAAACTCGGCTTAATTTGGTCTAAGAAATATGTGGTATGTTTTTGTGAAGACCTTTTACAGACACGCTGTATATTCTTTAAGTACCTATATTTCTTTAGCCTAAAGAAGAATATTTTTAAAAACAAATTACTTCCATAGACTTACCACAAGCATTATTTTATGCATACATCCATTTTCTATGGGGTTTTATAAAAAAAGTCAATGATCTCAAAAGATATGTTAATGTACAAATTATACTTACTGCTTCTTCTGGACAGTACAGGACTTCGTGCTGGTTTTTATTATCTACAGTATCTGCCATTCTAACTCCTAAATTTACATTGAAATCCCTATTCTTCAGTTAATTGCGCAAATGTGTTTTGTCAAAATTGAAACTGTCAGATTAGAAATTACCTAAATTGGTATCTAGTCTAACATCAGATTAACGTAGGTCAACTGTTTTAGAGTCACAATTATTTTCATTGTGAAAATATCTTAGATAAAAGAGACCAGAGATATAACATACACCGGTTTTAAACCTGCGCAAATGTTGCCCATTTCTAAAGAAGGGTTAACGGAGTGGGGGAACTGGGCGGCGACACGCGGCGACCCGAACTCTGTGACAGGGACCGGACTTTGTTTATTAGCAACTTAATGAACTATTAGGTTTATTTAAAAGGTGTTTAATCGAATTTTGTATTATGAAATCAAATTATCGTGATTTTTTTAATATCAAACAGATGCCACGACATTTTATGTAAATAGAAGACCTTTTATAGAATATTTCGTTAGCGTTTATTTACTACGGACTTTACTGCAAGAGATTACAGTAAAATGTTGAAATAGAATATATTGTTAATAGAGCAAAAAATGTTACTCATTATCTACGAGTATTATAAAAATAGCATGTGCGCAGGCTAATACTGCAAATCTACCCTTATGAGTTGAACATAATATTTTTTCTACGGCTATTACATATTATTAAAAATTAGTCAAAATGAAAAAATGCTGTTTTGTATTGTAACCTCAGAAAAAGTATATTAAGGCTTCTTTCTTTAAGAATATTAATTATTATAAAGGATGAGTCACATAAAACTCTAGAAATGCATATGTCTGTACCAGATAACATTTTAAAATTTAAATCTATTAAAAGTCATTTGGTCGCTAGGGATGAGTGATTATCGAAATAAATTATAGATAATTGAAAATAATCGATTATTTTCGATCAATAGATTATTTTCAAACAATATATTTTTTGTCATTTCCTTTAAAATCGACTACTTGATTATCTTTGAAAAATCAAAAATAATCGATTAATTAAAAAGCCAATTAACCGATAAATCAGTGTTTACAAAATATAATATAAATAGAATTATCGTTTATTTTAAATAATCGATTATTTTCAAATAAACCATTTTTTTTTCGTCCATGGAAACAGATTATTCGATAATTTTTGAAAAATCGAAAATAATCGATTAATCAAAAATAATCAATTAATTAAAAAGTCGATTAACTGATAAATCGATTTAAAAAAAAACAGAATGATCGATTATTTTAAATAATTGATTATTTTCGATCAATCGATTATTATCAATAATCTATTTTTATTGTATTTCCTTTAAAATCGTTAATTCGATTATCTTTGAAATACCGAAAATAATCGATAATTCCAAAATAATCGCCTAATCGAAAATAATCAATTAATTAAGAAGCCGATTCTATGATAAATCGATTATTACCAATAATCTATTTTATTGTATTTCAAAAATATTCGATTAATTAAAAAGTCGATTAACTGACAAATCGATTTTCAAAAAAAAAACAGAATGATCGATTATTTTAAATAATCGATTATTTTCGATCAATCGATTATTATCAATTATCTATTTTTATTGTATTTCCTTTAAAATCGATAATTCGGTTATCTTTGAAATATCAAAAATAATCAATAATTCCAAAATAATCGCCTAATCGAAAATAACCAATTAATTAAGAAGCCGATTCTATGATAAATCGATTTTCCAAAAAATAAAACGAATTATCTATTATTTTCTAATAATCCTTTTTTCATATTTCCTTTGAAATTGATTATTCGATTATCGAAAATAATTGATTATTAAAAAGCTGATTATCCAATAAATCGATAATTTTAAAAAAATAACCAAAATATCGATTATGTAAAATAACCGATTATATTCAATCGATTATTTTCATATAATATCTTTGAAAAATCGAAAATAATCAAATAATTAAAAAACCGATTAAACGATAAATCGATAATTTTGAATAAATCTACTTTTTCTGTATTTTCTTTAAAATCGATTAATACATTATCTTAAAAAAAAAACAAAAATAATTTATTAAAAACAGCGGATAAATCGATTTTCATTAAAAAATATCAGAATTATCGATAAATCGATTATTTTTGTAACTCCTATCGGTCGCTTGCTTTTATCTGAGCATTTAGCTCCAAAATTTAGAGATTCGGATTTTTTGATCCAGTTATCTTTGAAATCGCATTCGCTTGTATAATAAATAAATATTGCTAAATTTTAAATTTTTTTAGTAAACGAAAATTATGTTCGAGTTTTTTAGGGGTTTGTAATGTAACATTTTATTAACGTGACTAAGGTCCATTTGCACCACTAGTCGTTAAGAAATAAGCCAAGCTTAAAATGACATTTCTCCATTGACAATGTCATTTTAAGCTTCCCTTATTTCTTAACTACTAGCGATGCGAATGGCCCTAAGGGTCGATTCCACCGTTGTGTTAAACGAAGTTTAAAATGACATTTTTACATTAACACTGTCATTTTAATCTCTTTAACACAACGGTGGAATCGGACCTAACTCCTGTAACTTTAGTATTTTTTTTTTGCTTATACTAGATTACTTTGTTTTAAGACTGAAAATTCAATGTCACTTTCGATTTGACCGCAAATAAGATGAACCTTGAAATTTTAAGTAGGTCATCCTGTATTTCATCTAATATTCTTATAAAAATACCTTATAAAAATAAAATTTAGCTAGCAACTATGATTCTTTACCTCTTATTTATCTACCAAAAAGGGCTAAAAACTACCTTTAGAAAACATTCTTATAAAACTACTTTTTAAATACAAAATTTCGCAATAATGCCTATTTACTATTTATTTAAATTAAATGTTCAAAATTTTACCCTTTTGTAAATTTATGTAATATGAAATCTGATTTCTGATGCTTAATATTTATTGAAACCCCTTAATGCGGATCTGAAGTATTCAGCCCAGAGAATCATGGCGCTTTATGTCAAAACGTTAATAAATATTTACCGCTGAAAACGAATATATTCATAACAGTAGTACTTGTATTATAAGTACATACAATTTTTCAAGATACATCGTGACATTTTGAACTTGAAATTGAATAACTAGAACACTTTAAATTGCTAAAAGACCAACAAATAAATCAAAAAGCAGCTGTCAATGGTGATTAAACTCAGGTGGAGGTGTGATCGCTGAATGGAAATCGGAGCAATTCGGGTGGCGTCGTGCAACAATGATTTTCAATTGGTGGGTTACTTTGTCTTAAAATAGACAGCATGCGCAGTGTGCAATGTTACATCTTCGGTCTCTTTAATCTAAGGAAAATATGGAGTGTTCGTTCAGCAATTTGATTGTGCTATATCCCAATCACAGCACGAATCTGAAACATTTAACCAACCCTCTTTAAATTAAATTATTTTTGACAACTTGACAATTTTAAAATAAAGAAACAATCAATATGTTAAAGTGTAACAATTAATTAAAAAATCACCGTCGTACTAATGCTTTCAACAAAATTATTAACGTTTTTAAATGGAAAATGTCGCCCTTTGCTCTATAACAGTTCAAACAATTTCGCAACAGATCAGTCCAGTATAGAACCTACGGTTACGATTCTAAATGCCTGCACGAACATCGGCAGACATCTGGCTTTGATCCTGAAGCAAAGCCCGCACATTGAAGAACTTAGGCTGTATGATAAGCAAAGTATCGTGTGCGCTATAGGAGAGGATTTAAGTCATATTGATACCAAAACTCAAGTTAAATCATTTGGAGGACCTCGAGTTATGAAAGATGCCATCACTGTAAGAATTTAATACATTTAAATAAGAGATTGTAGGCATACACTTTTACTGCTTTTTTCAATTTTTTAGGATGCAGACATAGTTGTGTCAGTAGGAGGTAGTAAATCAGCTCCCAGTGAAACTGCACAAATATTATTTGAGAACAATTGCAATGATGTAAGAATAGCCGCGCTACATATGATTGAATACAACCCAAAGGGTTTGTTTTGCATCGCTAGACCTCCGGTAGAAGCGTTGGTACCACTTGTATCCGAGGTAATAAAACATTGTTTGTACTTTTCAGCGCTCTTGTGAATCTATGCGAATCAGTTTTAGAGTATCATCTCTTTCATCTTATACGCACTTAATTATTCTACTTTGCTGTTCCAGGAATATAAAAAAGCGGGAGTGTACGATGCCAGGAAAATTTTCGGAGTGACATCTACTGCTACGATGACCGTCAACAGCATTGTAGCAAAGTTGGCCAAAGAAAAACCTTTGGAAGTGCTGTGTCCGATTGTTGGGGGCCTTAGCGGGGAGTGTCTTGTAGGAGTTTTGTCCCAAACTAGACCAAAAGGATTGCCACTGGTATTCCTACCTTCCTACATTTAAATTTCGTTAGATTTTATTTTCCAATTCAAATGTCTCTTAAGTTTTCGATTTGTAGCAACCCATCGAAACTCAAAAGCTGATTTGTCGCGCCGAAGATGACGTAATAAATATATACGAAGACACTGGTTCAATTTGTTTGGCTCCCGCTCTAGGCATCTCGAGGTTTATCAACTCGCTACTAAGAGCTGTAAAAGGAGAGACAGATTGCGTGGAATGCAGTTTCATACGTCAGACCGGGCATATTGGGAATTTCTTGCCGTACATGACTTCCATCATACGTTTAGGTGAGGCGGAGCATCTCTCCATGACTAGCACTGAACGTAAAAGAGATATCTCAAATCATTTCAGAGGCAGATATATTTTAAATATCCACTATTATACGGTTTAAATCCGCTATAATAACAATTTCGCAGGTGGCAAACGAGAACAGTTGATAGTGGCACGGGGAAACAGTGACAAAGCCCACACAAAACACGAGGCTAATAACCTTAACAGATGATGCCGATTACAAAAAAAAACACTACAATCTTACGAGTCACCGCTTGGGCAACATATTTTGGTAAGGTCTCTATTAGCAGCACTTAACAGAAGAACTGGCTGCTCACCTTGAAACGGTCGCATGCTTTTAATTTCCCTCGTAGACTTTTATACGATAATAAGTAAACCTTCCGAAGTAAATTTTACTATAATTATTTTAAAATTCAAAATGCAAAATAGTGAAATTTTATTATTTAATATGTTTTACAAATAAACACAGAACAGGCAGGGCCGCCGAGAGCCAGGCCGGGCCCCAGGACAATTCTCTAGATCGGGCCCCATGACAATTTTATAAAAAATATTTTCTCCTCTCCTAAATTTCTCTAAAAAAAAGCTCTTCAAACAAAAACTTTTCCTCCTCTACTTGAATTGAATTTTCTAAAAAAAAACCCTTCAAGCTAAAACTTTTCCTTCTCTACTTGACTTGAATTTTCTAAAAAAAAAGTCCCCAACCAAAAACTTCCCCCTCTTGTCTTGTGCCGAACTTCTGAAAGAAAACAAAAATCCTCGCCACGGTTGCCGGGCCCCCATTTGAGTCCGGGCCCCGGGAATTAGTCCCGGCTGCCCCCCCCCCCCCCCTCTCTAGTCGGCCCAGAGAACAGGTGTGTTAGCCATTTTTTGAAGGTATAAAGATTCTCACCTCATGGACATTGAAGGCGGGGGTTGTGATTTTTTAAACATGTTTAAATCAAATAAGTAAAAATATAAAAATAAGTTAACATAATGAACAATTAAACATACATGTTCAAATTGATCTTTTCATTGCAATTGCTTTTGGAACAAATCTCTTTTGATATAATTATGATATATGATAAAATCATTATTGTTTTCTCTATTTCCACTAGTGCCGCCATTAATAGCTATTTGTGCAACCAGTTACAGAATGCCTCATTTTATGTAACGAGCAGAGCGAGATCCCGCAACATGAACGACTTACATAAAACGGTATTTCGTAACCTGTTATACAATATTTTTTCTAATTTTGACTAAAAAATTGTATTTTGATAAAACATTACTAACATCTAGGTAACCAATATTACTTTCTTGTATTATTAATTGCGTATACGTATAACTTCATTCAATTGTTTTCTTTCCGCAACTGGTGACATAATGAATTTTTCATAGTTTCATAATTTTCAATAATATGCAACTAGTTGCGTAAGGTAGTTTATTTTGACACTTCCTGCCATTACAAAAAAATGTCACATGCAAATTATAAAAAAAAGTAAATTTTTTATAGAAACATAATTACTGCATCTGATGCAAGTATATACGAAAGCCTTTTGAGGTCAACAAGTTTTAATTATTATTTGACCATTGTCAGTTAGTATCTGACAATTATTGTTAGTTAGTATCCGACAATTGTCAGTTAATATCTGAAAATTGTCAGCATCTGACAATAATTGTCAGTTATAGTACCTAACAAATGTCAGTACTAACCGAAAATTGTCAGATACTAACTGAAAATTGTTATTATCTGGTAATTGTTCACGAACAAAACGAACGTCTTCATATTATCTTCACTTTCTTGTACACAGGATTTTACCAGCCGATAGTTGTACTACAATTGTCAAATACTAACTGACAGTTGTCAAATACTAACTGACAATTGTCAAATACTAACTGACAATAATTGTCAGATAATAAATTAACCTTGGCCGTCACAACACTTCCGTAAGTATGCAATACTTTGAGATTACAATAATAGGACCTCACAATTTCATGTTTCTATATCATATGCGACATTAATGCTGCTTGATATTGAAAATGTACTCACCATTTTTCACAGAAATAAGAAGTCTTCATTCGCTTGAATATTTCAATTCGTTCATTGTTTCTAAAAAATAAAAATAACACAACAGAAAAAACGGAAAAAATCTCTTATCTGATTAATCAGTATCGTAGCAACGGTGGGGGCTCAATATAGTATATGGGTGAGAAGAGTCTAAATGAGTATTAAATATATGCAGACAAATTAATTTATCAGCAATTGAAGGGCTTCTGTATCTGCAACGTATAGAGTAGAGGGGGGTTACCCTTCGGGCCTCACTAGGCCCATTGTGCAGCCTCCTAAATTGATAGGCTCTCTTAGCTCGTCAGCCATCCTACTAATTTAATGTAGTTAACAACGTCGCCAAGAGGTGTTTCTCTTTATACCGGTCGGTGTTAGCCCATACTCATCGAACACAAATCTTCTAATAAATGAGAGTGTATCAGTATGAGAGTCTTTGGAACGGTTCCAGATCAAAGATTAATTCTTATTTTTGATTAAGTTTGAAAAATTTGTTTATTTAAACTTCTATAGTCAAAAAAAGTATCAACTTAGAATTCACCCTGTATAAAGATCTATCACAGCGAATATTTAAAAAAATAGCGACTTCTGAAATGATTCGGAATATTTAGTGTACGTTCGGAGAGAGTCGTAAATTTTTTACAATTTGTGTTCGTGAGAGTTTATCTTTAAATAAAAAGATTCTTTTTATTAGTCCCAATTAAAAAAAAATCACCACTGACCATCATCAATACAATGATGTAAGTCAAATGGTACTACCATCAATTATCTTTAAGTCGTCCCGGAGCTCCACGGCAAATAATAATAACAGACGTCCCTTCCACACACAAGTTTAGTCGACTTCTGGTATGATACTATAAAAAGAAGGTATATTACGCAAATTAATACTATGTCACGGTAACGTATTATGGTGTAAATGCGTGGCTTTTACGAATTTGAGGTATCAGCTGACCGAAAACAGTGCGCGAAAATAAATTTAAATCCGCTCATGGCCAATCAGTCATATTCCACACCACAATACGTCATGCGCAAACTAGACGTCATTTCGTCGGCTAAGTATCATGCCTCTCCAATTTTTTGTGTCATGGGGCTTCAGGGGTTGAAATTAACTCGTAATAAGGGGATGGATGAGGGAAAGTATTATCATTTCATCCCTCCCCCTGTCGTTGCCACGCTTTTTTATTTAGTAAATCTAGCAACCCTAGTTGGGACATGATTTAACATATCTATATGGATTTAACCAAACTTACCTATTATGGACTATATATCCAAAATGGTGGTATAAAACGTGAAAGTTTTTTTGAACAAAAATAATTTTGCTTACACTAAAGGGGCCATTTGACAAGGCGAGTAAAAGGCGACATCGCGACTGATGAAAGAGACGCGACAGCACTTTTAACACGGTAGTATTTGCCGCCTTGTTGCTGTCGTCTGTCTCGGCCTCGCGATTCCTATTAGTACCTTTAAGGTTATCAACAAAAAAAATAATAAAATCTGATTATGTATTTTTGATAGGAATAATCTAGTTAGCCGAGTACCCATGATACTGTATTTTTTTTTTTGTATTATGGGGAATAACGTCAGATAAACAAATGAAGTATTATGCATTCCAAACAATAGAACTGTCGGTGGGAAGGTGTGGTATAATAATAATTTCTTTAATTATCCCCCTTACGAGTGAATTTCAACCCCTGAAGCCGATTGTGCTCTTGTGACACGCATATTATTATTATTATTTGCCGTGGCGACATATGAAAATGATTAATGGTGTCATTCGAAATCCAGGTGAGGAAACCTGGAAAACCCCACCCACCATCATCACCTAAAGGGTTGCGACACGTATCCTATCTACAATACCTGAAATCATGAATAATGAATTAAATTTCAATATTTTGTCAAACACTGTGTAATTTAAAAAAAAAACCGCGTATACATCTTTTATAAATTGGCATGCTTGGCGACTACTATTTTCAATAAAATTAGCGTCCAAGATAGAAGGCTATGTCGCATCTCCTTAGATATAAGAGCCCTTCCCACTGGCAGCTATTGTTTGACAGGTCGTTGGAATGCCTAAGAAAGTAAACATAAAAAAAACTGACATTGCAGTTGTCAAAGTCGTTGGAATGCCTAATATTTCATTTGTTTATTTGAGGGAATACCTACCTTTAAACATCAAATCAGTATTATTAATTAGTTATATATAAAAATTACAGCTTATTTTAGAAGTATGTTGAGCTTTCTTTTAGTCTTGTTGAGTTTATGAATGACTTAACTACAAAATATGGAAATTTTTTTGTGAAAAATTATACCGTCGAGATGCTGTCCTCCCACGTGCGCCGTCTCCTCCAAACATTCTCTGAAATGGACAAACACGCGGACACAGAGTTCTTGTGGAATTGCTCGAATTTCATCGTAAATTCTTTGCTTCAACTGATTTAGATTTGCAGGAATTTCAGTGTACACCTTTGCTTTGAGGAACCCCCACAAAAAAAAAAAAACATGGGAGAAGTCAGGACCATTTTTCGATATGACCTTTCCTGGAAACATGCTTCGAACGACCTGGCTGCATGGAAAGATTCGCAGTGTGAGCAGTCGGCCCCATCTTGCTGAAACCAAGTGTTTTGGTTATAGCCAGCAAAATTTTGCAATTCTGGCTCAAGAAAATTTTTCAGCATTGCCCTATAATGGTTAGAGTTAACAGTGACAGTACGATGATTTCCATCTTCAAGAAAAAAGGGACCAATGATTCCATGTGCAGACATTGCTGCCCACACTGTCACTTTGGGACTGTGTAGAGGTTGCTGATGTTTTTCCCTTGGGTTGTTATCACCCCAATATCGACAATTCTGTTTATTTACGGCTCCGTTTAAGTGAAAATGGGCCTCGTCACTAAACAGAATGTTGTCGAAATTGTTGAAGTTCTGTAACATGTGCTGGGCAAATGCAACACGAATTGGATAATCTTCCACTTTTAATGCTTGAACAATTTGAATTTTGTAGGGATGAAACTTTAAGTCCTTCTGTAAGATCGTGTGAACAGTAGATTTTGATAAAGTTAGAGCGACCGCATGTTTTCTTATTGAACGGCGAGGCGTTCGTCTTACTGCTGCGCGAACACGTTCGATATTTTCTGCACTTCTACCGACTCTGGGCCGACCCATATGGTTGTTACTGACTGTCGTGCCTTCTGCTTCGAACTTTGCAACCCAGTATCTGATTAAAGGACGCGTCGGAGCTTGATTAATGTCGTGTAAATTAAAATGCGCACGGTAAAGGCGACGAACTTGGATGTAAGAATGGTTATTTTCGTAAAATGCTTTTGCACAAAAAGCGCGCTGCGGCCCCGTGTACCGCTCCATTGTTACTGAAATTCCGAGAGGCTAGCTAACGATTGCAACTGGCCAGATCCTCCCACTCTTAAAAGTTCTCGAGAAATATAACCGAGAAATAGTAAAAACCTTTTAGGACACCCTGTATGTTCATTGTATTTAACAACTATTATTGTAATTTCTCGCGATGATCAGGAAATACTTTTCATATTGGGCCGGTTATTCTTCTAGATAATATGCAATAATACACTTTGTTATTTATACCGGGTGTTCAAATTAAAGTGTTACAGCTATATACCGCCTTTTATAAAAAAGACGTTTCAGACAAAAGTTTTATAGTTTTGTGGGAAAAAAATTTTAAATCGTTTTTTTATAGCTAACCATAATATGGCCAACTTTTTTTTCGCCCAGCAAGATGTTCAAGTAGCTGTTACTCAAAAAGTAAAAATCCAATAAAATATTTCCCTCAAAAGTTTCTTATTTTTTTATGTACTTGAAGAATATGTAAAAAAATGGGGTTCCAATTTAAAAAAACAAAGTCCACCTCGATATGGCCATATTATGGTCAGCTATAAAAAAATTTAGCCAAAATGTTTCCCCCAAAAAACTATAAAACTTTTGTCTGAAACATTTTTTTCTAAAATGCATATTTTCGGAGGAATTTAACTGTAATTTGAACACCCGGTATATTATGATATAATATTCCAAATCCCAGCATATTTGAAATAATTTTTAGGCAGTTCTTTAAAACTCACATTAACCCATGGCTATTTTTTTTACATCAGGCCGTCATGGAGTGTTATCAAGCCATATGCCGAAGATTACAGTTGAAGAAGGCGAACGACTTCAAAAAGCAGCAGTTAGGATAAAAGAATTCATACATTTAGGAGAAAAAACTGCTAATGATGTACCAATAAAGAAAACACTACAATTTGAACCAAAACGTGCATAAAGCTGTATTCCAGTATACTCAGTCTTTAAATATGGCGACAGATAGTCAAAGTGTCAATATATGTTTCCTTATAACAATCTTGTTCAACTAATAATAAAATTCAAGTAATTTTTTCAAACCAGTTTGATAGAATCTGTTTGGTTTATTGGACTACAAAAACTTGGATGCGCGATTCGCCAAGGAAAAGTATTTTAGTGTCTACTACAGTCTTAATTAAAAAAAGCATTTCTGGCTAAACAAAAATTATACAAATAATTTTCGAAGGATTTGTAACAAAAATTAGTTATTTAGTTATTTATAAAAAAAAACATTTATAAAAATAATAAGCTCTATATTTGAAAATTACGCATCACAACTTGAATACTTAATTATATTATATAAAAAACGCAGATTCGAAACTACAATCTTTAACATAGTAAACTATTTACAATTTAATAGCTTCAGCCAATGAACATGACAATCCAGTACCATCAGGTTCGACTTGAAGGGAAGTGATTTTACCATCTTCAATTACCATAGAGTACCTCTTGCTCCTAACACCACCTACAGAAAAATTACGACATTAAAAAACATCTTTTTGTAACTGTTTATATAGGCCAAACTGCAATTCTTGCCCAATTCAGAATTAATAAATATAATTTATGTGCCTTCAATATTTATAATACCTAGTGGACCGATTTCTACTGACAAATCCAATGCTTTAGCCAATGTTGCTAATGGATCGGCAAGCATGCGTACTTTTCCACTGGTTTTTTGGTCTTTGCCCCAAGCGGCCATTACGAATGGGTCATTGACTGATACACAGACGATTTCATTCACTCCTTGTTGCTTTAATTCGTCAGCTTTGCTTACGTATCCTGGTAAATGCGTCTAAAAATAAATAAGGTGAAATTGTGTACATGTATTTCAATAACAACTGTATTACATTTATGTCAATTTCTTACTATATCAAAAACCAGATAAAGCTCACGGGGTAAAATAGTGGCCCATCTCGAAAAATTGTAATTTTTAGTTAATTGTACCCTAATAGGCACTTTTAAAGTATGTTAAAATGTTACTAGGAAGTCCAATATTAGATCAATTTAAACTGGGTCAGTATTACATATTTAATTATTGTTATTTTTGAAATATGTCCTTATTACTTGTTAAAAGTGTTGCATGAGAGTCATTCATTTAAGTTATATTTTATAATGTACCACAGTTGTTTCTTTAAATATCGTTTGATTATGCTATAATTTATTTTAATTTAATTTATATTTAATAATATATAATAGAGTAACCAAACTACAATGTTTCTTTTCTTTATATCTTTAAGCTTTAAAAGCTTTTCATAATATAAATACAATAATCGGTTTTCAGCATTACAAGTACCGCAAAATCAATCGATTAATGTAAAGCCTTTTTTGCTTTAGTTTACCAAATTAACTTGTAAGAAATAATTGGGTTTATTGCAATATGGAACCTTAAATTACAAATTCATGGGAAAACAAAAATACTAGAACTGCTAAGTATTGAATTAATAAAAGACGGATGGAAAATGCGCTAGTTCAGTGATGATGTAATTATGGTTCCACTGACAATTAAAGTGACAGTAGATTTTTTGAGTGCGTTTTGTTTACCTAAATTATATCGTTTTTTTTTTCACTTTTATAAATATATTCCTAAAGTAAGTAGATAGCATGTATCAAATATACAATCGTTTAGTTACCAATTACATAGAGTACGATTCAACTAAGAAAAAGCCACACACATCATACCTGACTTAGAAGTCTATTCTGTCAAAATTCCTTTATATTTAACGGCCTTTAAAAATGTTGGCGCCCTATAAAAGTATATTTGTATTCGTTAGTTTACTTCTGTCATTGTTTAAACAGATTCCTTTAAGATAGTACTCTAATGTATTTTAAAGATCCGTTTAAATAATGACAGGAGTAAAGAAGAAAATATTTTTAAAGGCCGTTAAATATAAAGGAATTGTTACAGAATAGACTCCAAAGGCCGCAATAATTTGCCTCTCTCTCAGGTCCATCCCATTTAAGCGTCAGTGGCGTTTTGGCGATTTTTTTCGTTTTTCTAATATAGATACAATTGCTTAATAATTTGGCAACGCTGTACGACTGCCGCATGGTCCAGAATATAATTCGAACAGAAGCTATCGCGTAAACATGGATCCCTTATTATTGTGAGCCAAACTTCTGCATTGCCAAGCTTTTACTTACGAACAAAAATACGGGTCCATCGGAAGAAAGTAAAGACAGCGAGAGTACTAATAATAGTTCATTAACGGACGAACTAGGATCTACTCCTCTAGTTTCACTTTTTGCACTAGTTGCATAAATAACTATTATTTTAATTGTAATAAAAATCTTAAATTACAAAATTGTGTTGCTATTTTTATTTACTTCCCACTGAATGTTTTGCAAGTCTAAAGTCGAAAATATATGTAATGTTATTTTAGTTTAATTATTTAGGTAATATACAAATGTTTAAATCATTAAAATTTAACTTTTTAATCCAATAAATGTTTTTTGTTGGGAAACTGCTTTAATTCTTATTTAAATAAGAGCCTACGCCACTGGTATATCGATCTGGAGCAACGGAGAAGGAATATTTTAAAGTGAGGCAGACGATGACTAGTTGATGACGCCCGTGGCTTTTTCTAAGTTGAATCATACTCTACCTTTAAACTATTTTTTATGACCTGTAAACAATATTTTGAAATAAAATAAAAAGAGTAAAAACATATATGTCAAATTTATTGACGTTTTTGTTAAAAGTTTGGTTAGAATTAAATGTCAGTGGAACCAAAATGACATCACACTGAACTAGCGCATTGCATCTGATTCGTCTGTGATTCGCAGTGTTGTAGAAACCAGTGGCGGCTCGTGAGCAAAAAATTGGGGGTTCACAATGGGAGAATATAGATCTCAGTACAGTTTTAGGTAAAAACCTTTCAGTTTTTATAATACACCTTTTCAAAACACTGAAAGCTTTTTACCTAGATCTGTACTGAGGCCTATATTTTCCTGTTGTGAACCCCCAATTTTTTGGCAACGAGCCGCCACTGATAGAAACTATTATAACTAATGTAGAATTAAAAAAGTTGGTCTTGATTTATCCACAGAAATGGACGTTGGTAGTAGAAAAAATGGTGGAGATATTTTAAAAAATTTAAAATAATCCATAGGGAAGTTTCTGAATTTTCACAAGAAAAAATGGAAATGGATAAATCAAGACTTGACTTTTACTCCTACATTACTTAAAATACTTTCTATAACATCGCAAATCACAGACAAATCAGTTGCAATTTTCCAACTTGCTGTGTTAGGGCTAGAAACATCTTTTATTAATTTAATGCCTAACACTCATAGCATTTTTGTGCCCCTTAAAGCAGCCAATGAAATTAGCTCTTACTTGATAAAATATAATATTAAGTCAAAAACACATAACACGTCACACACAGAACGTAGGTGATAATGTCCATGTGGTCATATAGAAGCATATTAAAAGAGCACTAAAATCTGGCCCATTTTATACCCCAGATCATTATGACATGATGGTCAAAAGTGCAAAGGCAGGAGCTCCTTATAAAGTTATAGAGATGATCTAAGGTGATTTTTTTTTTAAGTTAACTATTCAAACTTCTTTTAATTATTATGAGGATGGTTCAGGCGATATTATTAAAATTACTGATCCTGCATCTTTAAAGTAGGAAACTTTAGACAAAGAAATAATTAACAAACAAGTGCAGCCATTGACCCTCTCGAAACCCTTGATCTAGAATGTGCCTACCAAGATATACCAATTCCAAAGAAAAAATTGGATGACCTGATAGATTTGTTAAAAAGTAATGTTATTAAAAAATGATACAGTAGTCACTTTAAAAAAAATAGCCTGAAAACAGTGTATTTGGAATCATTCAAAGGCATTTTCCAATCCTATGTCCACCTTTTGATGTTGTTAAGGTCCATTCAGTATGTTGTAACAGTGGATTTGCTTATGAGTTTCCATAATCAGTAAATGAAGCATTGTTGATTTGAAGCCCTTGGTAAAGATCACTTAAGTTTACTATGGACAGCAGTGGTTCTAGGACTGATCCCTGAGGAACACCGCTGTGTTTTTTGCTCTTATTTTAAAGTGAGGAATCCACACATGCCTGTGACGTACGCTCAGTGAGGAAGCCTCTAACAACTTCAGTAGTTTACCCCTAACTCCAAAATGTTCTAATTTATAAAGCAAAAACTCGGTTGGTACTTTGTCAAACACTGTTTCAAAATCAGTGTAAATGATAATCAATCGGTTTGTGGTTGTCATCAGCTAGGGCAGACTCATTTAGTCTAGTTAGAAGTTCTTTGGCTATTATTTTTTCCATTCATTCACATAGTGCACTTGTTAGGCTGATTGGTCTATAGTTTTCTGCATGTTGTTTGTTTTCTTTTTTGTATATTGGTCTGCCAAGCTGCAGGGAACCCTCTTGTGCTCATTATGTTGTTAAGGATGTCAAACAATGACTCTTTCAGTACATGTACACAGTTCTTGAGAAAAACTGGTATAATTTCATCAAGTCATGGGCTAGAATTTAGTTTTAGAAATTTAATCACAGTGTCTACTTTTTCTGCTGTGAATATGATGTTTATTTTAATCCTGGAGTAGTAGGCTTCTAAAGGGAGTGTGGGTTTAATTGTGTTCAGATATAATACTGTGTAAACACTTTCAAATTGTTCTGCAAAGCATTCTGCAATTTGTTTGTTTTGAATGGCGTTGCTTTATCAATTGTTAAAGTTGTTATGCTTGGAGTTGAGGGTGCCATTTATGTATGCCTAGAATTGTTTGCTATTTGCTACTATACTGTGTTCATAAGTTTTCCTTGCTGTCACTAGGCATGCTTTGGTTTTGTTACCTTTGATAGTTTTCTTCAGATTTTGATGTTTGATATGTGTGTCACATATTCCTTTTCTGCTGAATCACTTTAAAGACTTCTTTGGTCAGCCATAGTTTTTGCTTGTTAACTTTCTGAGCCCTATTGATACATGTATGTTAATTGTTCTGTTTATTGCCTCATAGAAAGTGTCAATATTTGTTTGATTGGCTACCTTATGTAATTCTTGCTGAAGTGAGTTGTTGACAGCATCATAGTCAACTTTCAGAATTGTCTCTTGTAAACTTTGTGAGTTTGATGGGTTATAACTTGTAGTTGCGTTTTAGCTGTGAAGACTACATAGTCACTTTTTAGTTTAGTTGCTTCTTTAGTTTTGTTCATTTGCAGATTGGGGAAATTGTGTTTTTTTTTTGTAATTTTCTGAGTTTAGTAATTTTAAGTTTTATCTAGCAAATTATTATTTAAACTTATACAGTTACCAAAGCATATTGTAATAAAATGTTGCTAAAACTTTAAACTGCAATTTTATAGACTTTTCTTTTAAAATATTTCACAAAAATGTAAAATGTAAAAACAAGTCAATAACGGCACAATTGTAATTGAGAGCCAAAGTTGCCCTCTAAATTATTACTTCAGTGATTTTTTTGGTTGGTGTTACCATTATCATTAGACTGAAACAGAAGATGGAAATGTGGGTGCAGCTCTCAAGTATAGTTTTATTGTTCAAAAAGACATTCTGATAAAAGATAGCAATAAAACAATTTGATAACTAATTTAAACATATATCAGTATCAAACTTTCAATTAAGTAAAATAGTTGATTTGGAATAATTAAATCTTTGAAATCCATTTTGCAAATTAGTGATTTTCTCAAAAGTTATAAATTTGTTGTGTGCCGCTATTGCACGATAATAAGACAGACATGCCTATACTTAATTATACAACTGGTATTAGTGTGACTGCATTAAAATTGTGGCACCCTGTATAAATATAAAAATGCACAATTGTTGTCTTATGTAAATGCAATTCCTCTACAATGAATAATTTACGTATCTAATAACATTTAATTATTACAACCTTCAATATAAATAATAAGTGAAAAAAAAAAAGGTAATTTAAATGAATGTGAAAGTATCAAAGATACTGATATGAGTCAATAATGGTTAAAATCTTTAAATATTCATAAGTTGTAGGTACTTAAAATAACAATTAAAATTCAAAATCGCACAATCATTTTTATATTAAGTAGTACAAAATTAAATTCAATAAAATGGCAAAAAAATCAGTTGCCATTGTATCTACTTGTGCTTACATGTATTTTTTTACAAGGATTATGAATACATTACAAACTGCATAAATGTAAATACATTATTGCAATGAACACATGATAAAAACAAACTTACCTTTGAACAACCTGGAGTAAAGGCACCAGGCACTGCAAAAAGAATTACTTTCTTTCCGGAAGACAATTGGGCCAAGTTGACTTTATTTGTTGGGGCATCTTCGAAAAGGTCCACGTTCGGTACAGAATCGCCTACCTGTAAAATAATTATCATTAAATAAAGTAATAAAACTCCTACTACTATTCTAACCTCTAACTTACATAATAAAAGAATAACTTACTTTAACCATGTTAAATGATGTTACTTGTAAAAATCTCTTGATACAATAATTCAATTGCTTGCCTGAAAGTGCGGTTGTAAGTCTTGAAGTGGTCGTGACATTCATTTTAAACCAGAAAACTCGACCTTATCGATTATCTATCTCCCACTCACTTTGATTTGATTGAGGTAAGATATGTCACATTGGCTCGCTACTTGAAAGATACCTTTACATTTGCCCCACTTAATAAATTTGAAAGGTTTATTTATGGAAATAAAAGTGCGAATTTGGCAGTCGTTTGTGTACCCCCTCTCTACCCTACAAATGTCCCTTTCAAGTAGCGAGTGTAGTCTATGAAGGAATCCCACTTGACTTTAACCAGTTTAACCTGGTTTTATTTTGGGATTTACCATCATTTTGAAGTGTTTTATTTTTTAAATTCGAGATAAAACGTATGAAATTATCGATTTTTGAATATTTAAAATATAAGCATTTCCTCAATTTGTATTTATTTGACACGTGACTATATAAGATGCCGGTACAGGGGTAGTATTCTCGAATCACGAATACCGACATTCGCATACGTGTTTTACAATGTGTCTCACTTTGTTGAACGAAAACCAAGTGAGACAAATCATAAATCTCGCATGCGAATCTATTATTCGTGACTCGAGAATACTACCCCAGAGCCGAAATTTAAAAGTATTAAAAATAAAAAGATTATGCTTTCATAGCCTTGTTTATTTAAGTGTTAAATTCTATTTTAATGTTCTTGGAAATGGGTGTAAATAATAAATATGCTTTGAGAAAATCAAATTAAAAATTTGTTTCAAGTCTACCAAATTTCCGAACGTGGTTCAGAGTTAAGTGTTGGATGTTGGTACTACCTGCTAGAAAAATCTGAAAAATGTCATCTGTCACTTGTCGTAAAATCGAATGAAAAAAATTTTAAATTAAAAATATTTAACCAATGTTATGAAACAATAAATTAAATACACAACAGCTTCTTATTTTTTTATCAGAATATAAAATATCATGTTGAATAATTAATTTACCCTATACTTATTACGTAATCTTTTAATTAAATTAAAATGGTTCAAAAAGTTGCAGCAGGTTTTGTGATATTTAGAAGGATTTCTACTGTAGTAGAATATCTTTTGTTACAAACATCTTACGGAATCAACCATTGGACTCCCCCAAAAGGTCACGTAGATCCAGGCGAGACCGAACTTATGACTACAGCCCTAAGAGAAACTGAAGAAGAGTCGGGTTTGTTAAAAACCGACTTAAAAATCTATGAAGATACGAAAAAAAAGTTAGTTTACAACGTGAAGGGAAAACCTAAAGAGGTGTATTACTTTTTAGCGGAACTGGTTAATCCTAAAGCGGATGTTAAATTGTCAGATGAACACCAGGACTTCAAATGGTTACCAATTCAAGAAGCCTGTGCTTTGGCAGGGTACCAAGAAATGCAAGATACATTAAAAGAATTTGATCAGTACATTAAAAATAATTTAGGCAAATGTAGCGGTGCATGTGCATAAATGAATTGTTGATTAGATACCATTTCTAATAAAAAATTAATACTAACTTTTCCTTGTTCAACTTTCTTCTTAGAAATGAAAAAACAAAAGGCTTCTTTTATTTTGTTAATGTGAATTTTACTTAAAGCATATGTGTTACTACCACAATTCTGGAGCACTCAAGTTTTTCACAAAAAAGTTATCTTATATCCCTTTCACTTACCATTTTTCAAATAGTGTAAAAATATTTTAAATTTTTGAACAAAAAGTGATAAGGCAAAATTAAGTTTTTATTAGTTTCTAAAAAAAATTTCCTTTTTCAACAATTGTATTTTTTTTTCACACCCTGTACAACAAAATCGATATTTCTCAATGTGAGTTGTATTTAAAAAGCAAAATATATTAAGAATGGCTTTTGTTTAAAAAATATTTTTACAAGTAGGTATAGTTAAGGCCATATGTGGACAGTAGTTTAAAAAAACAAGCATATTTCTACGTACAATTTATTACAGATACATTTAGTATCGTTTAATCAGTGTATCATAAAGAAATCCAAAGTAAAAAATATATACAAAACTGTTTAATAGGTACAGATTTGTTACAACCTTAAATTAATCTTTACAAACAATAAAATCCAGAAAAGGGCCTCACATCAAAAAAAAAAAACAAGTATTTTTTATCAGATTCTAATTATTTTCTTTATTCACTTATCATAACTTTGGCCTGTATATACAAGATGCTTATACAAACCAAAATCGATAAAAGTTCGTCATTTTTTTAAATTTTGATCATCCCATAGTAACATTTAATACGAAAAATCAAGTCTTTATAAAAACCATTTGAGTTAAAAAATAAAATACTCTTCTTTAATTATTTTTTTTGATCAAGGAAAGATTTATAGATTTTTAAGTCTGTAATTTACAGCATGTTATTTATTTAAAAGACAGAAATGAGATTACAATATCTGTTCAATATAAAAAAAAAAAACAATAAAATATTATGAAAATATATCAAAATTATTCAGCAACATAATTTCTCATCGTCTTCATTCATTGTAATTTCAGAGCCAAGTAAAAAAGCATATTTATAATTTCAAACATTTTTCAATAGATTGCACCTAGTTGTTCACACAATTGTAACTTATTATTTATTTCAAAGCACCACAAAAAGTATACCTTTAAAATGTTAATTAAGTTAGTTAATTTATTTGAGTTTTAAGTAAAATTTTATTTTCAATATATTTTTATTTCAAAATGGAATTAGTTGTTTGTGATTTTAGATCAATGACCTCATTATTGTTTATGACCTCAAATCAGTCTCAGAAATAGGATTTTGACTGATAAAAGATAACAGGAAATAAATTAAATTTTAATAAATTATTGAAATATAGCTGTTTTCAAAAAAGGTGTACCTAAATGAAATAAAAAATTTACTAAAAGAAAACATTTTAAATTATATGTAACCCATTGTAAATATTTGAACTGCTTTGAAGTATTTGTGTTCAAGAATGATTCTCAGCAAATTTATGAACTTAGCTATGAAATTTTGGCATAATGAATATGTATGGATTCGTTGTTACATTATGAAACAACTATAAAAGATGAAATATAAATAGTATTTTTTTGAATACTTTTCATCCCTAAAAAAATTATTTAAACAAATTGTTGCACGAGAATTTTACTCTACACTGTCAAAAACCACAATTTTTGCCAAACACTCTTATATTTTCATAATACGAAAACCCCCAATAATTATTATTGGGGTACAGATTCCAAAAATGTACTCAAAAAAACCACTTACACACTAATGCCTACCAAATATTAATGAAATAGCTTAATCCCTACGCCTTGGTGGTCCTGAGTTGGGCGATCTGGACCGGAATCTATCACTGTTGAATCTACCGCCTCCCCCTCGTCCACCCCTTGGAGCGCCGCCGCCGCCACCGCCTCCGTAACCATTCCTGGTGAAGGAGTCACGTCTCCGGTCAAAATCTCTTCCTCCAAATCGACCTCCACTGCCGCCGCCTCCAGATCCTCCGTATCTATCGAAACTGCCTCGTCCACCACTACCTCTGCTGCTACCTCGGAAGCTGCCGCCTCTTCCTCCACCTCCTCGGCCACCACCACCTCTGGGGCCACCGCGACGCGGACGTCCTCTTGCTATCTCTACTCGTAGCTTGGCCCCCAGGAATTCTGTTCCGTTCAAGTTGTCGCAGGCCGTCTCGGCGTCCGTGAGGCTGTTAAACTCCACGAAAGCGAAGCCCGGCGGGTTGAATGCCACCCAAACGCTGTTCAGCTTACCATATTTCTCAAATTCCCCTTCGAGGTCTTCCTTTTTTATCGAATCGTTGAGCCCGCCGACGTACACTCTGGCTGTCCTGTCTCGTGATCGGTCGCCCATGATTCTGTGGAACGTAGAATTTCGTAGGTATTATTGTAAAACACCGCCCGCTTGGGCTCATATGCGTATTTTGTCGTAAATGAATCATGAAAATTAAAAAATAATACTTTGAATGTGCAGTTATCGTTATTATCGTATGTCTCGGAAAGCATGATGGTCGGTTGCGGAAATTGATAAAAAGGAATACTTAACTAAAATATGCGAAGGCAACTGATTCCCAAGATTCAGTTTTATATATTACGGCGCAAATAGCTTTTTTTGTGTGAGAATTGAAAACAAAATGTCGGAGCTGCAGGGCGTCTATAGTAAAGTAGGTTTTAAACAATATTCGCAGCCAAAACGTGAATTGTATGTTAAATATAAATAACTCGAAGGATTCGTAGATCCAAGGATAGTTTTACGTGTAGTTACCCAATATCGAAGCGATGCGTAGTACCCTTTTTTCGTAGAAACTGACACAACGTAGATAAAACTTCGCTGTTTCGATGACGACGATAAACAAGAAGGAAGAAAAATACAAATCGATTTTTGACAACGCCGGTAACGGAAGGAAATGCTATAATAAATCAGTGCTACCAACACCAAACATCAACACTACAAAAGCGTTCTTTTAACAGGTTTGTTCGAGAGACGGTTCCTAATTCCAGAAATTTATAATTTGTAATTTGCTTCGTAAATGATGATAATAGGTCTTTTCCTTTGCATTGAAAGTGTAGAACCGAGCTACACCACTTCTGAAAATATCGTTCCATTTATACAAATTGTATGGATGGAACAAAATTTTCAGAAGTAACGTAGCTCAGTGCAACACTTTCGATGCAAAGGAAAAGACCTTATATAAGGGGTCGACCCCCAGGGGGGCTATTTTCAAAGTATGGGAGCACTCATTTCTCTCAAGATTTTCATCAGAAATGTCATACGTCAATGTGGAAACGCTGTTTTTAAATGCCTCGAGGATTAAAATTCTTAGGAGGATATTAATTATCTCTAAATAAACCGTGAGAAACAATCAGTGAGTTCACACTGGCCCTTATGACCCTAAAAATTACTGTTTTACGTTGACGTATGACATTTCTCTCGAGAGAAATGAATTATCTCGACAGAAATGAATTCTCTCGAGTTTGAAAATAGCACCCCAATTCTCGACTTGTAGGAACCTTTTCCTATAGGAATTTGTGACACTTTCCTATATGTAGGAAAATGTCATAAATTTTCGATGTATGTAAAAATGTCAAAAATTCCTATAGGAAAATATTCCTACGAGTCGAGAATCGACCCCCAGTGAATTACACTCGAAATGTGTATAAGGAATAAGGAGGGAAGTAAACTAAGGTAAATAAGGTGGTGTAACTGGTGTAATTTACACTGGTGGACACTACACCAATAGCGAACGAAAGAACCTTATTATAGTTCAGTGGGTACATTCAGTAATAGTTAATTTTCAAAAATGTTAGAGTATGTGTTAATATATTAAGCAATAATTTAATCTTTCGCTATATAGATCGTTTTATTAAAAATGTAATATTCACTGTTGGGTTCTAATTAACAGTGCTGTTCCTAAAGTGGCGCTGGAAAACAGTAACAAAGCCTACACAGAACACGAGGCTAATGGCCATAGAAGTCGACGCCGATGACACCAAGGCCCGTATTTATAAACAGAACTTACGTGAGTCGGACTTGGGTAAGTCGTCCTTGAACTAAAATCGAAGTTCGGTTAGAACGCCTCTAAAGTTCTAGGTGGTTCTGGTGTTAAACTAGAATTTAGAGATGGATATTAGCAAATCTGTAACTGTTATGTACATTTACGGATTTGTTACTACCCATCTCTAAATTCACGCGATATAACCGAACTTCGATTTTCGTTCAAGGACGACTTACCCAAGTCCGACTCACGTAAGTTCTGTTTATAAATACGGGCCTAAATTAAAAAAAAAATATATGTAATAATAAATTATCTACTGATATCCTAAACTTTTTATATACGTGTAAGTAACTAAAGAGAAGAATACGTTATATTTTTTTGTTCCTGTAATACACCTTTCCCCTTATTCGATCATTTCGCATTACTCATGCGCGAAAAAGTGCGGGTCTTTTGAATCTAGTAATTTTTGAAGCAACTTATTTTCTCTCTCTCTCTTATCCTCCCCTATAGGGAATTATTGTTGTGTTGGCTACAACGGTTGTCCCCTCCATGGTTGTCCCTGTCTGTCATCGTTCCAATAACAATAACAGTGTTAGTGTATATTTTTGTTTAGTTTCATAGGAGTTTATAGAAAATATTTTTTGATTTTATAATCCCAAGACAATACGTTGTTGTGTACCCACTTGTCCAAATTCTGGACCAAACAGAAAAACCGAACGTTTTTTTGCCATTCCAAGCAAAAATAATATAAAACATCACTGGTTAGCAGCAATAAAAATTAATCCTGACTTAATAACGGAGAATATCAAGGTAAGAATAATAAAAACTTACTAGTTGTAGTATCATATTAAATTTTGATTATAGTAGACTTACATAGATTTATGTTATAGGTATGTTCCTTGCACTTTAGAAAAGAGGATTGTTTTAATTTTTCGACAAAAGTGAAATTGAAGCCTGGAGTTATCCCCACTTTAAATTTAAATAATGTAGAAACAACAGAAAATATTCATATTGAAGATAATCCAATACAAATAAGAAAACGAAAAACTATCTTCAGTAGAAAACAAGCTAAAATAATTTCAACCTTTTGCATTGAAAAGTTCAGACAAAATGACAAAAAAATTTCATATTATACTGGATTTCCCAGTTGGAAGATATTTATTATAGCTTATAACTTTGTATTTAAATCAGAAAAGGGACCTGTTGGTGTCATTCAACAGAGACAGGCTAAGGGAAACTTAAGGAAACATCATAAATTAACTCCTTTAAATGAATTTTTTCTAACTTTGATGAAAATAAGAAGAGGATTTGACTATGAAACATTAGCTGATATGTTCCAATTGTCAAAATCTGCAGTAGGGCGGATTTTTCTAGCATGGATAAATTTATTATATGAAAAATTGGCTGGTTTAAACATATTTCCCCATCGTGATGTGCTTTTAGATAAAGTCTCAGATGTATTTAAAAGGAAATATCCAAATGTAATAGGTAGCATAGATTGCACTGAATTTTTATTACAAACACCTTCTTCACTGGTACGACAATCCCAGTGTTATTCACAATATAAAGGATCAACAACTTTAAAAGCATTAATTATGATAAGTCCAAGTGGTGCAGTAATATTTGTATCTTCTCTTTATACAGGTTATAAGTTATTTTCATATCACTGGGGTTGAAATTTAATGAAATTTTTTTCAGGTTCCATATCCGATAAAAAAATCGTAGAAGAAAGTGGGTTTATCAATCTTTTAAAGAAAAAGGTAGAAATTGGAGAACTAAAAAGAGGTGATTTAATATTAGCAGACAAAGGATTTGATATTAAAACCATCCTAGAAGATGTGGGCATATCCCTTAATATACCAACTTTTCGTATATCTGGTATTCAGTTTCAGCCTAAAGAAATTGAATATATTAGACATATTGCTAGGGAAAGAATACATGTCGAAAGAGCAATCCGGAGGTTGAAATGTTTTAAAATTTTATCCAATAGAATTCCAATTTGTTTACTGGGTTCTATAAACCAAATTTTTACAGTCTGTTCTTTATTAACAAATTTTTTATATGAATTAAAGAAATAAATAAAGTTTTAATTTAATTCATGTTTATTTGCAATATACATATTATTTAAATTTTAGTTAATAAGAGTGAATATAAATTGTAGAAATATTAAAATGTTACTATTTAAGGACAAATTAGGACTACTATGTAGATAGGTGTCACACCAGCACACTTAAAAAATCAATATTTGTTGAAGGTCTAAAAAAGTATAGTTACCTTTTATTGTTAAAACATCACCTAATATTAGAGTCTTCAAAAAAAGATTAAGAACTATTTTCAAGTGTAAATTTTGTTTTCTATATTTACTTACATTAAGCATTTTTTGTAAATACCTTTCTTATTGTATATACTAGCATGTTTTTTGCTAAATAAAGAATTTATTTATTCATACAAATATTCACTGAGATAAAAAGAGTCAACACTTGAACATGGAAGGATGTGGATTTATTGTTAAAAAAACAAGCGTTTAAAAATTTAAATATATATTGTATAAGTCAGTTAATTTATCATACATATTAATACAAAATAATTCATTGAATTCAACCCGAATTATGTGGCATTCATTACTTTCTTTTAAATAAACACATAAATCGCACCACTTTAAACCTGTTATCAGCATACATCCCTGCACCTGATAAAAATAATTATGATTCTCTTTTAAACATAGTTTTTTATTCTCATCTTCCTTTAAGAAAAACGTTTTGGACTTTAAGGCTTCTTTTAAAGTATTATACTTTTTTGAATATGGACATTTTATTTCCAAAATGCCAAATTGTCCATTTTTGTCCTTAATAATGCCATCTGGACTAGCACCTAAATAGGGGGCATACGGATGAATAACCAAACCACAATCAAACACATCATGTTTAGTTATTGTTTTGTAAACATTTTTTCCATGTTCTTCATGTGTTTTGCCATGCTGTATTGCATTTACATTACTTAGGTCTCTGATTTCCCAAAGCTTGTTAAAATAATCTAAATCAATGGCCTTCTGTCTCTTGCATAAATTTCCAAAACAAGATGACGTAAAACGTTCACGTCTAAGCATGTGCCATTCATTGCAATTGCTCTGCAATTTGGTTCTTTCTTGTATTGAAGACGAATCTTCCATCGTAAATAAAAAAAAAGAATCCTTTCTTGGCAGTGGCTTGGATATTAAAATATTAATACACTCCATGTCCATGTTTGGCAAATTTATTGGAACAATATCATCCTCTATTGCATTTAATTTCTGCATACCTAATGTTGTCATGCTTTCATCTAAAAAAAAAAAATAAGATTTTTAATAATGCAGGTTACAAGAAAAAAATATGTAAACATGAAATATTCTAGGAAGTAAAACTTCTTCAAATATAATTAATTTACATTATATACAAAATTAAAGTAATTAAGAATTTAATATGTTTTATAATGGTATAATAAAGCTTATCATTACAGGGATTATCTCAAGAATACTAGGAACAGGTAAAAAGGGTGAATGATTGATATCTGATTGGTCATTTAACAGATTGTCTAAATTTTTAAATCTATTTAGGTATTTCATGTGTCTCTAAATGGTTTAATTTAATGTCCTTGTTTTGTAAAATCTCACAATTTTCCTTATAAGAAATGTAGAATTTTTGTTTTTAATTAAACTGTTCTGAATGTAATTTATTTATTTATTTCCAATTTAATTTAATAATAAGATATAATTGGTGAATGACTGAAACAATCAAGAATATATAAAATATGTTATTTACCTCTGTTATCTAGATTAAGTATATAAGAAAATGGAATATTTTCATTGATTTTCTTGAGTTTGCTTTTTAATATCTTTATTTTCATTTCTCCAGAAACTTCCTTGCCAGCAAACGCTGTTTTTGGAGAAAATAAGTTTGGACAAACAGGTCTTTTCTTTCTATTTATGTTTGTGGGCTTCTGGAAAATTGTCTGCAAAATGCTTTCTGGGGCAATCTTTGAACCTCTCGGCTTATTCCATTCTATAGGTTTCGAAGTACATGATAATGATTCAGGAATTTCACTATCTCCACGAAGTATTTTATCTTGTAAATAAAATCCCAAACCAATAACGTGATGACAAGACTGTGATAACCTAAAATTATAAACAATAATTAACTACAAATATGGGTTGGGGTCTTGATGCTAGGACAGTTCGGATCATTATCTCGACCCTAGCGGAACCCTTATCCAAATATGTATAATCAGCGATAATTGGGCATTAAAAAGGTAATAAGTACTTACCCAACTTCACAAGAGCAGTGACATTCTTTTAAGTTTAAAAAATCATTTTCCTTCCTAAATTCGAGGACGAGATTATGAGGCTTCTCATTTCTCTTCTGGCTATGAAAACATTTCGCTTTCACGGAAGGTTCAGATTCATTTATCCACACATCGTGAATAAAACCTTCAACAAAAAACTTGTAGCCCCTAGAATGCTGCTGTTGGGTGGAACCATGTTCCTCGAAAAACTTTTGAGCATCGCCAAAATTAAAATGTCTAATACACTGTAGATTTTTTTGCCACATCTCCATAATAAAATAATCAAAATCAAAAACAAACAATCACTATCAAAGACGAGAACACAATGACATTTGCCGACTGTCATCCGTGTCATCAGCATTTGACACTCGGGGTAGGAAACATAACAATAACAATTTTTGGTTACTTTAAGAGGGGGTAAGATTCGCGCATGAGTAATAAAGACCATCAAAAAGGAGATAGGTCTATTAAAATGCTATAAATAATTGTAAGAAGCGAATTAATTATCTGAAACTAAAACAAGTTTTTTTTCCTTCGACTAACGTCCGAATGTTTTATTTTATGTAGGTAAATTCTCCGAGCATTGCTCGGAGGGTAAATTAATCAATATCAATGGACCGTATTAACGAAAAAATGATAAAAAGAAGAAGAATGTAAATGTCAAACTAGTGTCAAAGGAAGATGACAGATGACAGTCTCAGTAAAACAGGAAGGTGACAGAAAGATTGTTTATAAACATTCATGTATTAAAAAACTAATTAACAATGTCCTACAGCGTAAATATTTCTGTGGAAGCACCGACCGAAAATCAAATTCAAGAAATAACGTACGACGGAACAGAAATATACCAACCGTAAGTTACAGGAATATACGTTAACACCGGTCTGACACAATTTTTTTGCAGTCCTTTAACTCTATCCGAAAGTCTTGCTAAATATGCTCAAAAAATAGACTTTAGTAAGACCTCAGAAGTAGAAATTAAAAAGGAAGAGTCGAATGAAGATTCCAAATCGGACACAGATAGCAAAGATGCATTTCAATCGTCATTGTGGCCCTGGGATTCTGTTCGCAATAAACTAAGAAATACCTTACAAGAAGTATGTGTATTAGCCGACGTTCTAGCTATTGCCAAAGACAAGAGGTATTTAGTTTTGGACCCTGTTCAACAGGAGCCACTGGAGACAAAACCTATGGTGCAGATTTATGCCAGAAAAAAGGCTCTTGCTGGTTAGTTTTTAGTTTAGTGATTTAAAGTTTAGGCATTATCTATTTCAATAAATATTCGATTTCAAAAAAAGCTTATATACTTATAAAAATCTGAGTTTCATATATTGTGCAAACTAAGAATGAAAATTTAATTAAAACTTTCCAAATTTTCAATCATTATTAATAATATGGGAAATGGAGGGATGCTGGCTGGGCAAAACAATGGTATAATGTTTTAAAATATATATTGTTAGTGCAAGGATAATTATTAGTAATAAATTACTGTACTATTTGACAACAAATAATAGAATAGTGAACTTTCTGTGTGACTTGGCAACATCATAAGACATAAGAGTAGCATCTCAGTTTTAATTTGAGACATTTTTAATTTAAGAAATTTTATTATTATTCATTTGCACAAGATATGGAACTTAGATTTTGTGTTTAAAATACCAACAAGTACATATTATGCTTAGTTTTCTCTTAATCAAAAAGTGGTCAAAGTTGACAATGACCCCTATTTGAATAAAATGTTTCTCAATCCATAGGTGCTGCTAGCGTACTGTTAGCAGGTTCAGAAAAAATGAAAAATTCTCAAAACGAGGCTGCCAGAAGTCGTACTACTCTAGATTTTCACATCGAACTACTCAGATTAAGGCAAAATTGGCGTTTAAAAAAAGTTTCCAACACCATAATTGGTGATCTAAGTTATCGCACAACTGGTTCTAAGTACTTACAAACTGGCACATTTGAAGTTACTAAAGCAGAAGATGAGGAAAAAGTAACCAGCCCTCCTAGTAGTCCTCTGCCTGGAGGCCCGGCTCCTGTAAAGCCTACCAGTGCTTTGAGAGTTTCCATACCATCAGAATTGCAGGGTGTTGCTTATATTGAGGTTCTTTGTCAAAAAGGTAAGATTCTTGACTTGTGCTTACTGATTTTATTTGATGAATTTGTAAATTTAGATCAGGAGGATTTGTGTACTGCAAATTTAACACTTCTGGGATCTGGTCCTCCTCCGTCTAATCCCGATATGCATTGGCAGCAGAAATTGGAGGCAGCACAAAATGTTTTGTTCTGCAAGGAGTTATTTAATCAGTTGGCGAAAGAGGCGGTTCAGTTGCAAGCACCCATACCTCATATGGTTGTCGGAAACCAGATTATGGCCACTGTGTTACCAGGTAAATCGAGAATTAGCTCTACCTATCTTTAATTATAGGTATTTTTTTTTAATTAATATTTTATGCACTTTCTTAAAAAAAATCCAACCATATCCAAAAATCTATTATTAAGTATAAATAATAATAATTCGCCTATAAGTAATTACATTATTATTTTATAGAACCAATTGAAATACCTAATGTCAAAAAAGATAAATCAAACAGATCTACCTCAAAACTTATTAACATAAGATAAAAACGATTCTTCAAGATTCTTACAACCACAAAATTAAATTATAATATAATATCTCAATTCAAAAATAATTGTGCTCTTGGAACAGATAAAATTTCAGCTAAATCTATAAAACACATTCACAATTACATTAAATTGCCTTTAAACCACATAATTATTTTTTCTTTCAATACATATAAAAATCCTGCACAAATCTGTCTATATTTAAAATGAGCAGATACAAAGCAACTGAGTAATTATAGGCTCATATCTGTCATCAATAATATTGCTAAAATATTCGAACAGGCTTTAAAACATAGAATTATAAACTTTTTTAACAATCATAACAGAATCACAGAAAAACAATATGGTTTTATTCAAGGTTCAAAACACTGAAGAGGCCGTAGCAAATTTTTTAAACGAAAAAAAAAAAAACTAAATAAATCATCAAAATGTCTTCCGATTTTTGGTGATCTATCCAAGGCTTTTAATACCGCCTTATAAAATTTTGTTTGAAATTCTAGAAATCCTCAGAATTCAAGTTACAGCATTCAATTCATTTCACAATTAACTTTAAAATAGAGTAAAAATAGAAAATGAACTAAGGTTAAATTTAAAAGTAAAAACAGGAGTCCCACTGGGAACAGTGTTAGGTCCAATACTATTTCTAATATACATAAAGAGCATAGCCAAATACAAAATCCCCTTCCAGTTTCACATGTTATGCTGATGATAGAGTACTGTTGTTTTCAGGGACAAAGTGGGTGGCTTTAAAAATTGCAGTAGAGAGTGACTTACACAAAATTAAACTTTGGTTAGATCGCATCCTACTTACTGTAAACCTAATTTTCACTTAAAAGTTTCATGTATCAAAATTAGAAATGTTTGTGTCCAAAACTGGCTGTACATTTTGAGGGACATACTGTCAAGAGAAAACTTAATAATGCTATATTACTTGCTAATTGAGTCTAATTTTAAGATATTTTGTAGTAATATATGAGGCAGTGCTTTTAATAGCAATTTAAATGCTCTGCAAGTTACTCAGAATACAATATTATAAAATTTATACTAAAAAAATAAACTTTATTCCACAGAACTTCTTTATAATGAAATAAAATATTTTTAAAATTAATTTAATTTATTCTTACCAGTGTAGAGTCAGAATTCATGTTAACAAAAATAGTTATAGTTATAAACATAATAAAACCTTGTCAACTAGATCATCTATAAATAAAGGCTATTATATTTACACTTATAAAAAGCCATTACACCAAAGCACATTCTTATATTTTGGCCATAAGTTTATAACTCTATCCCAACATAATGGTGACACTTTTAATAAAATAATAAACTGCAGATAAAGAAAAATATATCAGTACTCTTTATCATGAAATCCTCGGATATCTTCCCTTATGATAGGTAAATCTATCTTTTTTTTCTTATTTATTATTATTTTCTTATCTATTATTTTATTTTTTCTTATCTATTATTTTATTTTTTCTTATCTACTATTTTTTCTTTTTTTCTAGATAGTAATATGTTTTAATCCTTAGCAAAAAAATAAATAATTTGCTTTGTTTATAAATATACTTTTTCACCAATATTATTTATTTAAGTACTTATTATGCAATTAGGGAAGCTTCAGTTCTAACATGCATATGGGCAAACCTATCTAGGTGTGTAGGTATGTTAGAACTGTCTCACAAATATAAAAAATGTATGTACATTTGAGTTGAATAAATTTATTATTATATACTGCTTACATGGATCTAAATAATTCACAATAAAAGTTGACATTTCATGATATATGTACATGTATCTCTCTAACACCCTGTATTAACCATATGTACCGTTTCAAAATAAATGATTAAAAGTCATATGTTACTGAAATTTTTTGTCCAAGTTCCTAATAATTGTAATATAATAAATAAAAACTATTTTGACAGGCATCCAACTTATAATTGCCCTGCGACACTCGACGTCTAGCGATAAAAAGCAACAAAATCCTCCACCGTCTAAGAGTGATCACGATCATGTTTTAGAACATTCTCTTCATCAGTTGTTGAGAGAAGTGCATCACAAAAATACCCACCATCCATTTCCTCATCCGGCTACAGGACCATTGGGACCGTCTAAGAAAAGAATGCTTGCAGGTAAATAATAACACAGAAATTCGAATTTGTAAACCTATTTTTATGAATATATACATGGGACGTTAGTAAACAGTCACTAAAAAAATAGAGTTAGTGGCATTTAAAATTGTTTTAATTATATAGGTTTTTAGAAGGTGCCTTTTTTTATACAATTGAATTTACTTAAAAAAAGGACGCCACTGAAATGCTAGATTTGTTTTAAACCTTTTTTGCTTCCTAGTATTTGTTTGTAAAAGTCTTAATCACTGAGTTATAAGCCTTAGAAGGAAGGTCATAGTGAAAAATAAAATGAGATTTTTTTATTGATCTAAATAAAAACCACTGAATTTGTTCACGATTTTTTTTTTAATATTTTATAACTTCATTTACAATTATTCGCAATGAAGGTGTAAAATAGTTTAAAATAATCCTGAACATAAATAATCTTTACATGAATCACATGGAAAAACTTGATTTTCATCTTTGAGCAGACTTTTATATCCATCTCGTTTAACTAACCAGTCACAATTGTTTAAAGAGACTTATAATGGTGCAGTAGATACTTCTTATTGAATTCATTCAAGTAATTTGTTTTTAAGATTTTTATCTGATGTATAAAACTTGTTTTAATCAGCCCATAGAACTTAAATGCAGTTTTGAGATCTTCAGTTTTAATTATTAAAATATTATTATCAGATACTACATGTATTTAGATGGTAATTGATACCAAATCTACAATTAGGTGATGATTATTTCTGCTATAAAACTTCACTTTTATGAACAAACACCTTTTAACACTGTACTGCCATATTTTCTTATCTTTCCATTATTATAAAAAAAAATCACTTCCAATAGCCAAGTCGTCTGGGAAACAAGCTGTTTCACTGGTTGACCTTTTTAGTTTGTCAATGATAATAATTGAAACATTTTTATTCAGGTCCGACAGCAGCAGATAGATACGAACTTCTAGAGATGACGAAAACCCAAACACTGTTGGAACAGATCGTCCAGCAAGCCCAGCACTTCATAATGCGCATGCGTACCGAATACGTGTTGGACACCATAGCTAAGGAGGTGAAAGATCCTCTTATTACCTCGCATTGGAATACTTTGAACAGCCCCACGCAGGTGAGAAGCAAAACATTTTTAGTTGAGTTTTTCGTTTATTAAAATTGTTCTCATCGCCAGTTTTCAAAATAAATTGTAATTCGATGACTTTAAATTGGTGGTTCCCACTTTATCGGGACTGAAACATCGACGGGAAAACTCGTAGCTTAAAATGAATGAGAAATTATTTGATTTTGGACAAAAGACTTTGTAGGCTAAACCATGTAGAGAGTCTTCACATGTTGCTTTTTGATTAGTCTTTGCAAATTGTTTGAACTTCAAACAATTTATTTGAGCATTTTTATTCTTAAGCCTGTCCAAATAAAAATATTTGAGTTCTTTACTCCTTACGCCTGCCTTGCTAAACATATTTGGCTGTCTTACTTCTTCAGCCTGCACAAAAATAGTTGGCTCCTTTATGCCTTACGCCTGCTCATCTAACAATATTTAATATCTTTACCCCTTAATGCACATATAAAATATTTGGGTCTTCTACTCTTTAAGTCTGCACCAGAGATAACGAGGAGATGTAACTACTAACAAATATCGTGCGGTCCGGAATAAGACATATTCTAAGGGACACAGGAGGGCATAATATCCGCTGTTGTCATATGCCTATTTCATTATTCTCGTTTTGTTTATAAAATTATTTACATATATTAAAAAAGCTAAAATAATTCAACCTATTTTATTGCAACTGAACCCAAAACATTTTTAATCATATTAAATTTAACTAAATTAGATGTAATTTCACTAAATTAGATGTAATTTCACTAAATTAGATGTAATAATTTTCAATAAATTCTAAAACCTAGTCATGTTAGGTTGGAAGTGGCAACATGGCTTACACCGACATGGATATTTACGTTGTTTATTATAAGCGCACAGCGGCTTACACATTTATTTATTGATAAAAATAAGTTGTATCTGTGTAAAATTATTCTCTTCAACCTCTCTCTTACTTCTCACCTTTCGTCTACTCGCCGCGTCCCTAAAAATAGAGTGTATCGATTGTTGAATGAATCTTGGCATTGTGAATATTATATTTTATGAATTAATGGTTATATCTCTGTTATCTCTGGTCTGCACATGTATATTTGAACCCTTAAACTCTTAAACCTTGACCATGTAAAAACTATTTGGCCCATTTACACCTTAGGCGGGTGCATATAAATATATTTGGTTCCTTTATCCCTTAAGCATACTTATATCAAAATATTACGTCACTTTACATGTATGACTCCCAATGTGAAAATCTTTGAACCATTTTCTCCTTAAACCTGCCGATATAGAAATATTTAGACCCTTTATTCCTTAAGCCTGCAAATATAAAATAAATATTTGGACCCTTTAACTTTTTAATCCTATTATCAAATTCAGGTAGGAGTTCATTAAAATTCGTGTAAAAATTATTGTTACTTTATCATCCTGTATGTTATTTCCGTAAAACAATTATTTTCACTTATTACTTTCATTTACAATAACTGAGGAGCTGGCACGCATAACTTAAGTCCAGCATAACTCAAAAAGTCAAAATGATAATAAAAAGTAATATTTTCCATACAGCAATTGCCCATTTAATTAAAATTTTGCTTTCAATAAAAATAGTTTTAGGATGTATTTTGAGTTTTGAATACCAAAAATTTTTCAAAAATCGTCCACTGTTTCTGAGATATACAAAGAAACAGTTTGGACTTGAAAGGCTGGGCGTATTGGATGGCAGTATTGCCCCATTAAATCTCACAGCGACAAATAATCATAGAAATTCTGAGAGCTTACTCTTCTATCTTTACATTAAACTTTTGCTCTCTATACAAATAGATGGCACCAACGGTATTAAATAGTACATTTGTCATATTAATACAGGGCCATAAGTACTTGTTCAATTTAGCAGTGAAGGGGTTTATTTCTAATTTAATAACATATGAATATTTGTTGAGTCTTGTTATAAAATAGAATGTACATTTCTGGGAATGTAATTTGTTCAGTTTTGTTGAACAATAGGAGTTTGACAGTAACTTTAGAATATGATTTTGTCTAATTTTGCTGTAAAATTGTTGAGGATTGTTGAGTTTTAGCATTTTAAAGCGATCTGGCACAATAATTCATTTATTTCAGATGTTCGACTTGTTAAGTTTTGTGTGCAAGCTCTTCAAATAACCACTCAAATAAAATCCTTCAAATGACGTTCAAAAAACTTTAAAAAGATTATTTTACTTATAAGAATGATAGCAATATAGAAAAAAATACGTGTGGCACTCGGGGACTGCCGCGGTAAAGCTATTGCATAGCAGTTTTTATCAACTTATGCAATTATAATTATTTATTTTATTTATGCAGTATTTTTTTTTCTTTGGTATTAATTCAAGTTTTTTTAATTTGTTTCTTTTATTGAATAAATGAGAAGTTAATATTGTTTAAAATATTTTTATTATCTTACAATACATGTAGGTTATTCAGGAATTTTCATCATTGAAACTATAGGTTTATGGTAACTGAAATAGGAAACATAAGTTTGAGACTTGATATCCTCTAAATATCTGGAAAATACCGCGTCAATGGTGGTCCCATAGTTTGTTGTGGACCGATTTTTCGATTATTCGATCTTTCGATTTTCCGATTTTTCGATTTTCTTTTATTGAATAAATGAGAAGTTAATATTGTTTAACGCCGCACCGCTGTGCCGGTCGGAGTGGGGGTGTTAGGTTTTTTTTCGTTATGGAATTACGGAATTTCTTGATTCGGTCGCCGCGCTCAAAGCCTGCGATAAAAGCTATGCAATAGCTTAAAAAGTATCTGTGGTTATCTAGTGAATTCAGTACCCATGCTATAAGAAATATATTTCATTATAAAAACACTAATATTTAAAGCACCAAAGTTTAACCGAAAATTCTGAAAATCAATGGGATTTCCAGCTGGAAGAAATGATAAAATAAAATAAAAACTGCAAGTCGATCGGACGTTTCATTCTAGAGTTATCGAGTCGGCGCACATACATATTCATGCACAGGCGAGATTTTTGTTTGTTTTTGGACTGAGGCCCCATAGGTAGGAGGCCTCAATAGTTACTTTGACTTTATTTATTCAATATAATCTAACAAAATCAACAAACTGACTGACATATACTTATACATATACTTAAAATTGTCGGTCAATATTCTAATTCCTCTGATCTCTGTTGCTCTGAAATATCTTTTATAGTATCCACCTACCTCCTTGCCTACCTCTTTCATTATTTTAATATTTCTGTATTTCTTGTTTATATGGTAAGGTGCTTAATTCTTTGCTATTTAAAGAAATCTACATTGGTTAATAATTAACAATTTAAGAATCCTTTCTTATTTTGTAACAATGTGTTACTCATTTACTCTGTTGTTTTTTTATTCAGTCTTGTGTGAAAATCCACATTTCCACGCACGGATACGACGCTGTCTGCCGTACGCCGCTGATCATCCACGTGGGCGAGAAGAGTTTGAAGTGCATCTGCAGAGACGGTAAAGTTATGAATATGAGCTACGAGCCCCAGGAATTGAGAGATTTGATTTTTTGTCACATCAACCAGCATCAGATCTTGGCTGTACAGGCTCTGGCCAAGACCATGGGCTGGCAAGCATTGGGAAACTCAAATCATTTAGGTTTGTATTGTTCTTGTACTATTTTCAATTTGGTGCCCACTTTTGAGTTACGCCGTGCATACCTGCCTGCATCGAAAATTAAATTGAATATATTCTACTAGTTGTTCCTACTAGAATTCAACGTTAATCGAAAACTTGCATAGATCACATGTTTGTAAATATAAAAAAAAATGGAGAAGTAAATACTCTTAAAGCTTATTTGACTTCTCATGATTGGAATGCTCTATAAGCTATGATAAATGTACAAGAAACAAAACTTACTTTGCTAATATTCTCAATTCCCTTATTTCTAAAAAATACAACTGTACTTAAACAAAAAATGTCATTTATTAAAAAGAAAGAGTGGAATGCTGTAGGTCTCATAAAACCAATAATCATAAGAGATAAAATTATATAAATAAATCATATAAAAAAGACATAGAAATCAAAGTGTTCAAAGAGCAAGTTTATTAATTACAGGACTTTCTTAAACCACCTTTATCCCAGTTACTAAACTTAATTACCAGAGGGCACAGATAGAATCATATAAAAATAACTCAAAAATTATAGAAAACAAAAAATATAAACTCTTATAATAATATAACTGACATAAAAGATGTACTAACAAAAAAAGGTAATATTGTTGAGAATAAACTACTTATAGAGAAGCATTTAATGAATTCTTTTTGGAAGTAGAACCTGACCTTGCTAGACTTATTACAAAGCCTCCTCCACCTAGGATCATAAATAATATCACCATATTCCTAATACCCACAAATACATAAGAAATTATACAAACTTCAAAAAATAACAAAAGTCCTGGTTTAAACAATATAACATTAAAAGAAATACAGAACTTTTTTCTCTATAACGTCGGATGATTGGGGTGAAACGCGCTCTTGAGAGGACACTTTTGCTACGACCTAAACTTTACCCCTCGATATGGGTATCCTCGGCTCAACGCTGTGTCGTTTTAGCACAGATAAATGAGAATTCTCAAAGTCGAGTACGCTTTGTTCCTCAGGGAGGTCAGTTAAAATCGAAGAGCAACGAAAATCTGTTTTCCGGGAAGATTCGCAGCTCTCTGACTTTAAGTTTTTTGTATGAAATTAATTCTACTTCTACTAGGAGAATTAGTAGGTTGGTTAGAAGATGACACGTCTGCATCTGAATCAGGACGTGTTGAAACAGGAATATCATTAAAATTGTTGGATAAAATTGCATTATTGCACCATTGCTGTATAACTTTTAAATTCAGAAAAAAAATGTAGAATTATGCTGTAGCTCGACTACTCAGATCCCCAGAGTTCGTGAATGCAGGGTCGAAGAACAAATCATTTCCCCGAAAAGGTGTCTTTGTGTTACGAAGTGAGCTGCTATGAGACAAGAGGGTTGAAAACAGAAAACGGACCTTCACCATTGGCTTAATGAGCCGTGAAAATAGGGATTGTACATTGGGTTTTGTGTATATGAAATAGGGAATTAATTGCAAAAAACACAGATTAATTTACATAGTAAACAAACATTGAGTTGAGAAGCTCAAGTTTGCCCTGCGTGGAACTTTTATTTGTATAACACAGCTGAAAGAGGTACAATGAAAAATTTGAAATAAAAATAAAAATCTGGGACGTTTCTGGAGACGAATAAAAATATAAGCGAACGTGGATGTACCGGTCTACACCAATAAACTGGAGTAGGGTAGAAAGCCAATGAGTATATTGTTACAATAGAACAAGATGTGACTCTATGGACTCAGCCATTTTTATTGCACATCTCACTCGGGACTATTTATAATAACCATTTTCTGTTTCACATTGTTATTGTTCAATCCACAAGCTGGTGGATCAGACAATAACAATCTGAAATAGAAAATGGTTATTATAAATACTCTAAAGTATGGTACTTACGCTTCTGTTTTCAGAACACGTAATATAAATCGCCAAGAAACTCTTTTGTCTGCTGCAATTTATTGTGAAGTACTATGAAGATTGTCATCAACTTTCACGTTTTCATTAATTTTGGGATGCCCTGTATTTGGAATAACTTTTCTATGCCCTTTTTGTCTAAATTTTCTGTCGACTGTTGATTGAATAGATTGCATTAAATAAATCATACTGGCTGACCGACCGCCGGCGGTGCTTGCATTTGTTGAAAAGTAAACCATCTTCCGGCGGCATATGGTCTTCTTCATACAGGAAAGCCGCCGCAAATCTAAACTGATTTGTTTATCAGGGCGGCATGCTATCAGTGAATTGAAAAATGCCGCCGGACGACGGTCTACTGTATTTAAAACATTGAATGCCGGTGGTAAGAAAAAAATACTTGTAAAATCGTCTACATTTTTATAGCAAATGATCATATGTCGTACACGTTTTATTTGTACATCGGTCTCCTTTTGACAGAGTAGATGAGCTGTGTCCAGGCCGTTGGTGTTTATGCCGGTCGGCGTAGCCAGGTATGAATTGAAATTTTATGGTGGCGGCGAAGCCGCCACCCTACGAGAAGTCGTTAATTCGTCTTCTTGTTGTCACGGCATTATTATTATTTGTTCATGTATGTGAAATTTGCTTCTAAGGTTTATAAAATACTACTGCTAGTCACGGCGTAAATGGAAACAAACAAGACGCATTCACACAAACACCTCCCACCACAGCAATTACAAATGATTAGTGTTGTCCCCGATACGCGAGTTTTTTCCGGCGGCATTTAAGGTTTAAAATACAGTAGACCGTCGTCCGGCGGCCTTATCAATACCTTGATAGCCTGCCGCCCTCATCAACAAATCAGTTTAGATTTTCGGCGGCTTTCTTATATGTGAGAAGACCATGCCGCCGGAAGACGGTTTTCGTTTTATTAAATTCAACTACCGCCGGCGGTCGGCTAGCCAGTACGTAAATAAATTGCATACCTCCTGCCGAGTCAAACTTATACATCTTCGCGTCCAAAAAGAATTAAAATTTCTATTCGTTGGGTTTCACTTAAATGAGCCACAATTTATCTTTTTAAAGAGTTCATTTTACCTGGTAAATGATATTTACACTACGTATAAAACTGACAGTTTGACTGACATGTCGTTGACAATTTAAAACTTGATTTGTAAAAACCCGTTTGATGTTTTTAAAAAGAAAATTAAGTTTTTGTGCTATTATTCTGTTTGCTTCTCTTTGCTTCATATGAGTAGATCATCGTTTGAACGTTTGCAAATTACTTTAAATAAAGTAGCTAAAAATAATGTTTTTAAAATGTCTTTTCTAATTTTGACATTTTTGGAATCGCAGCAAGTGTCAAAATGATCTACTTTAAGCGACCAGTTGCATAATGTTGAACATTATGATACTGATTATGTAATGTCACCATCACTTACGAAAAGCAAATAAAAATAAACCTTATTTGGTTTTAAAATCAATGTATACAGTATTATTGAAAGTTTATATCAAAGAAGAACAAGTTTACTCATAAAAATAGAATTTGGTTAAACTTACAACCTAGTAATAATGTTGTTTTGTTTCTTATTTTCCATTCTAAACCAGCACAAAACAATTAAAACACAATACACAACAAAATAACCTTTTTTTTGAAAACTAAATAACTTAAGCAATATAAACACATTACAAGTCGTTGAGAATAAATAATTAATATGATGTTCTATTTGTTAATAAAATGATGCATAACAATACAAGAAAAAAATATTGATTGCCCAGATGTCAGTAATGTTTTACCAAAATACAAGTTTATAAATTTAATAATTCAGTCAAAATTAGAAAAAATATTGTTTGTAACACGTTACGAAATGCTGTTTTATGTAACTCTATGTTGGGGACATCGCTCTGCTCGTTCCGCAAATATTCACTCGTTACATAAAATAAGGCATTTCGTAACTGGTTGTCTAAATAGCTATTATACGGAACTTATTTTATTAAAGGTGCATTATTAAATTGAACATTTTATTGAAGTTTGGTTGTAGTTAAATAAGAACTACATTTTAAATGAGGTATCATATGACACCTATGTCCATTTAAACGATTACGTCATCACGCCAACATCGGTGACGTAATCTGTTTTAAATTTAGTTTGAGAAATAGACAATTAAAAACAATAATCGACCTGTTTCAGGATTTTATTTTAAAACTTGACAGTTTTCGATAAATTTAGTTGGTTCCATAATTTAGCCTCTCACTGTATGTTAGTAAAATGCACTGAATATGTAAAATTCATTGAGTATTAAAATAAACAATCAAACCCAGCCTACCGACACGCTTTGTAGGATGTTTTCATTGTTTGTGTAAATTTTGTATTTATGACTCAAAAAAAAATATGTTTAAGGTACTGGAACTGTGGAACCTTTAGGAAACGCGAGCTCCTGTCTGTTATCCTCGCCGACCGGCGACAGGATAATAGCGGTTCGGTGCGAACCATCCGACACCCAAGTGTCTGTAGCCCATTCGCCCAGGCAGGATTTCTTCCCGTCGAGATTGGTGACTGAGAGAAAATGGGAGCATTTAGGGGGACAGTTCAGAGACGTACGGTTGGACAAGATGGAGGGCAGGAATTTTTTGCATAAAATGGAGCTGTTGATGGCTAGTTTGACTAGTAGTTCTTAGGATTGATTATGTGTAATATTTATTATTTAAAATGGTAGATGTAAGAATAAAATCATCTTTTTGTTAGTGTTTTCGTTTTAATTCATTTAGTTGGCGAAATAATTATTTAAAGATATCCAAAAATGTTTATATAATTTGGAGATGGATCACTTGGACGATTTATTACTTACTCTCCCTAATAGGCTTCAAGAAAGTGTACAGCTTCTCGACTTATTATTATACATATATTTTATCAGTGCGTAATTGATCGATAGCTGTTTTATTACAGGAGATACGAGGAAATTTTTAATACGACCTTATATATTCTTAATTATGCAAGGTAATCCATAAATGGGGAGCGAATCAAAAGTACCTAGGTAGTTACGCATAATAGATTGTTAAACAATTTTGTGTATTACGATATTCTCAACTTTTCGACTCTGTATATTTATTATACCACTCTGTATGTTATACCACTAATTTATAAATTATTTTTTTTATACCGTTTAGTATTCCTCATACCAAAACGCATTTTTTTAAAGATTTTGTTGGTATTATAATAATTAACATAATTTTTTCACTTTTTTCTTATTGGCTTTGAAAATGTGGAGTTTTTTTAGGGTAAAATGCTAATATAATTTTTGCTAACCCATTTGTCAGACTTAATGAATGGTTTTCTATTCTTTCGTCACAATATGAACCACTGTAAAAAAAAATTAAAAATGCGTTTTGGTATAAGGAATGCCAAATAAAATAAAAACTAAAGAAACTAATTATTAGTTAATTAAATTGGTGACACACCCATAGGAAATAAATGGAAATTCAAAATGCCTTTTAAAATTGTTTAACGATATAAAAACTATCAAATTTGTTATATGTAACTACCTACAGGGTGTTTGGTTTAAAAAATTATAAGTTAAGTCCACCCTTTATTCATGGACTACCCTGCATATTTAAGAATAATTATAAAATATGGCCGTACAACTTTTGTTATAAACATTTCTTTGTATCTTTAATAATAATAAAACAGATTTCACTCAAGTACACACTGATGGCGTATTTGTATAATAGGCTAACAGGTTGGTATCGTTGGATAGGTAAATTCATAAGTTAATGCTAAAGTAATATATAGGTCATTGCATTTGAAAAAATTGAGTAAATTGAACTTAATGACATATTTCAAAACACTATATAATACGAACCAGTTCTATCATTACTATTCGTTATCTTCTTGGTATCTTATAAGTATGTATTTTAAACAATTTTGAAATCATTGCTAACCTACGTAAATTATCATTCTCTAATTTCACAAAAAACTAATTCCTTGGCAACCCTGTAATATTTTTCAAATATATTCTAGGGTTAAATAAAGCAGGGTTCGGAGGATATATAGCAAGTGATATATATTCGATAATTTAATTTATTAAATTAAAAATGTTTCCACCATTCTAAACTTCCGAAAATGTCTCAATACAGCCCTGTACAAAAGTATAATAACTAGCGATTTATTCGGCTGTCACGCAAGCATCGCCGCGCCGACTTTGGGATTAAATTTTTTTCAAAATAAATACATTTAGAAGGTTTACAAAAAATTCAAGGTTTCTCCACCCTAAGTTTTGTTATTACTGGTATTTCCTGAAAATTTCACAAAAATCGGACTAAAAATAAGGGCTCAGAATGAATTATAAATTTTCGAGGTGTCCGGTTTGCTCTTAATGTGTTTTTGTTATAATTTAAAACATAATTTTATATATTTATATAAATATCATATTTTCGAACCCTGAAATAAAGTAGGTATTACCAAATCATTCTAAAAGTGAAATAAAATTCAAGGTTCCATTTAAAAAATATACATTTTCATTTGCCTGGCAAAAACACACTGTATATCCAAATTTTTTTTAAAGTATGTCTTTTTTAAATTCATATAATTTTTATTTTAAACTTATTTTTTATAAATAGTGTTAATTTATTTTGTATTTTAGAAAAGAAACGTTTAAACTTAAGTCAGAACCATATATAAAACTATTTTATTGTTAGTCAAAAAATATAAATTTTGCTCGATAGTAAAGAACTTTTATTTTTGACAAACCTCGTATACTACTGATAAAATTTGATATCTGATGATTGTATTTATAGGTTTTAGACCATGCTCGACTTTTTATGAAGAATAACTTTTTTCCTAAAATTACTAATAAAAAAGTTTTCCTGTGCCACCAACTGTACGTAAATTAGGTATTTATGAAACGCACTTTCATACTCTGAAGAATGAAAACTGGGACATTTACACGAAAATTATATTTAGTTTTTCTTAATAATTAGTTAATATCTACAAATCTCCCAGTTTACGGTACTTTTTTCCGAAACACCCCTGTATATATATTGTTATTATACTGACACATCGTCCTATTAGACACTACCATTATTCAGTTAAAATTTTCATCTAAGTAGGCTGTGACGTCACCAAGAAATCTGTCACTTAGGCCATCGGCCAATGGACGAATTTCTTTTCCTTTTTAAATCTTAGAGTAAGTAAGTAGTAAAGAGAGGACAGTAAACAATGTTTGTGTCGCCATGATAATATGGTCAAGAATTCTAATTAGAGAGAAATAGATTAATATCTCTATCTCTTTGTATTTGTCAGTTTTACAAAGCTTTTCTCAGACAATTATTCCAGTGTTTAATTTAAATTTGTTCGTGTTGTGGTGTTAAAAGTAATTGTTATTAATATTATATTCATAACAAAAACGTCATATTTTGTTTTCACTTCATTAAAAATGCAGCTACCTACCTTTTAAAACATTTTATTTTATATTCTACGTGGTCAACATTTTCGCATTTAAAATGACCCAGCGAAATTGTTTTACGGTACGCTACTGCTGAGAATTCTAAAACGAGTGAGAAAGCCTTCATTAGAAAGAGAGATACTGATAATATGATAGCGACATTAATATTGTATAACTTTATGCAGTGGTGGCCTATCTGCTATTATATTATCTAAGTTTTAAATGGCTACTGTGCGGGTCTATTCGTTTCAAACTAGAACTTTTTGAGTAAAATTTTTGTTAAATATAATATAAAAACTATAATTTCTATCGTTAATAATATGTGTTCCAACCTGACATCAAAAGTTTTGCTAGGTAAGTAGTTTATATTATTTATATACTTTCAAAATCGCTTAGATTAGGGTCGATTTAATACAACTGTACTGAGCATGGGGTACTTTTTGAAAGAATTTGATAAATTATAGCTGAAAATTAGTTCGATAAATGCTTTTAGTTTTATTACCTATACATTTCTGTTTCGAAAATGTTAGCAAGAACGTAATTTTGATACAATTTAAGTTTAATTTATGCAAGCAAACAATTTTCAAGTCGTATCAAGTAGGTAGTATTATCTGTTTCGTCTGTCAATTCTTAGACAAATCTGGATTACCTGTTCAAATAGATGTGTTCTAGGCAGATATAAGAGCTGAATTAATATTTTAGGTAAAAGGTAAGAGCTACAGAAATGTTCTATTTTACATTTTTATTTTATAGGTATTTTGTCTAATAACGTAATAACATAAAAAGTAAAGCAGAGACAAAAGTTGGAAATGCTTTTGGTAGGTATAGTCTAAATTAAAAGAGGAATGCAGTAAAAGTGAGGATATAACGTCACATTTCATAGGCGTACTTTGCAAAATAAGTTTCTATAATATAAATAAGGTCACGGAATATAAAATGGTATATACTCACTTTTGTAGATTAAATTTTGAATGAAAAAAGTTATATTATTTACAAAAAATAAAAATGAACCTCAGGCTTCTAACAAAATTGTTGCACTTAACATTGATCGAATGAAGATTAGGTATATGTTGAGAATGGCAGTGGCGTAGCCAGGCTTTTGGGGCGAGGTATTAAAAAGGCACAAAAGCCCGTTTAGGTAGTTTTTATTAAAACTTAAAACAATGGACATATATTGCTTGTGGAGCAACCTGTTGTAATCTAGTCTGTAGACCTTTTATATGACCTGACATAGAACTGGCACCGTCATATGATTAGCCACAACATAATGCTATCGGGTTCTAAAAATTATTCAGCTTGTTGGGAATGGCAGTATAAAATAAATCAGCGGATTCAGAGGACAATCTTACAAATTTCAGAAATCTTTCTTCAACAAAACCATGTTCAATTACAAAATGCATTGACAAGGACATTTGCTCTTTTTTGATTGAATTATTAAGACTGATTACAATCAAATAAGACATCCAAACTTCCTTATTTGTTGTTGATATTTTGGTAATATTACTAATATTTCAGCAGTTGTCATTTTTTTTTTCTAAAAAGTTTAAAATTTTCAATCAAAAGGTGAATTGAAGTAATAATATCCCAAATCATAATTCTACAAAATTTCAATAGCTATTCACAATTTATTAAACTATTTACGTGAAATTTTTATTAGCATCTATATTAGTAAGAGAGGATATGGACAATACACTCGTGTTGTACAGTATATTTTTTCTACGACCTATTCAAAATAATTTAGGAATTTCACTAATTTATAAAATAAAATAAACAAAAAGAAAAAAAAGATTTTATTTAATTATTCCCCAGCGCAGATTCGATCCCGGGCTTTCGCGTGGAAGGCAAGCATTCTGTTCTCGCCTCCACCACCACATTTAGAATTTTGGTTTTATTACTCGTTATTAAATTAGTTTCATATTTTTTTTTTCCTGGGCTCGTCTGAATATGTGTCTCCGAATAACACTGAAGCCTATTGGCTTATTGTGTTTTACCCCATGTTAGTTCATAGCACCCACTCTATCACCTTTGTACCTTGTACAATTTTGTACAGATCCTTGGGTGAGTGGGTTCTATACGTTGTTGGATCAACCTGGGGTTGTCCAAAAAGAGCCTGTCTTTTGCGATCTAGAGCTTCGCATTCGCACAGTATGTGTTTGGCCGTTTCTGGTTTCTTGTGACATAGTCGGCACATGAGTTCCCCATTGTACATGCCAATTTTGTTCAAGTGTCCCTTTACTGGGGCGTGCCCAGTCATGAACCCTGTTATCACTTTCAACTGGTTCCTATTCATTAAGAGTAGTTCT